TAACATTGTTTTAGGACTGCTCGGATTGCTGAATCACATTTATTAACCGCCATAATAAAGTGTCCTTCATCATCGAGGAGCTTCTAAATAAGTGTCCTACACACGTGTTCTTTCACTGTGGAAAATGCTTTCTTCTCATTGTCGTCCGAATTAGGGTTTTCGAACTTTCACAAAGTTGGACGAGTAGATGTCTCATTAGGTGCAATCCGAGATGAACCATCCGTAAAAACTAACAAGTCCGTTAAACATGTTTAGATGTTTGCTCGAGGTTCGTTCTTGGTTCTCCAGAACACCAGCTAGTTTATTTACTCAAGGGTGAATACGTGGAGTGTCAACAATATGCCCAAGGAAAGAGAGGGAATCGGTTCCAGTGCAATATTTCCTATGTTAACAGTAACGCCATGTTTTTGAAGTCGTCGGAAAACACGTTCCGGATGATGGAGACGCGATTCTCTACCAGGACATTCAATTAGAAAGTTGTCAAAACATAAGCATGCAAAAACTTCACAGGTCCAAAAGTGTTATCAGAGAAGCTCCAGGCAGTTTGAACAGCATATCTTAAACGCAAAGATGTAGACGAAAATTCAAGGGGTCCAACGGGAGTGATGTTAGCGGTTTTAAGGTTGCCTCATGTAGCAGAAGGGATTGGGTTATAAGACTTAACTTAAACCATTTTTCAAAAGACACTTTTCCTTTCAAATTAGCTATTCAGTTATGCATATGATGAGATGGGTAGAGATCAGGTGTAGCTTTTGTTTTCGGTCGTTGACAATCACTCGTAGAACGTCAATCACTGCAGCCTTCTTTAGGAAACAGTGGAGATGTCCATGCGCTGTTTGAAGGCCACATAATCTGTCAATCTATTATGTATTCTAATTCGTTTTAGGCAAGCCCTAGCTTTTCAGCAGCCAGTCGCCAGGCCCCCGAAAATACACGTGATCCTGTAGTCGTGGTGTGATATGAAATATTGCTGGTTACACACAGTAACTGTGGTCGTGTTTGGCTCAGATTCAAGTACTTGTCAAGTACTTTCTGAAAGAACTGTTTGACTATGTGAATAACCGTAAGCGGAAATGATCAGCGACCAAATAATGTAACTCCAGACAAGGATAATTTAGCAGGACCGCCGACTAAACTTCGTTTGCTTGGGTCATTACGTAGGCGATGGTGTTGTAGCGGGTCTGTACCAGTGTTTGGCAATTGCACGTTAGCCACAATGAAGACCCGTTGAAGGGTTAGTGCAAACCCACGTTAAGATAAACGTACCCTTTGCCATTAGTGGGGATTCATTTTCCGTTTGCTGTCAGTAGGCTGATAACTGGATCGTGCAAACGATGGTCTGAGTTCGTTGGAAGGGCTGTAACTTCTGAGCCAGCAAGTATTCTTCGTTACAGCAGTGATGTCAAAAAGATGGTTTCGTCAACTGTAAATGGCTGCAAAGCTTCTCAACAGAAAAATCCTTGAGGGATCGATGTTCTGGTGACCACCAGGGTCAGATTTAGCTAGTTAGACTACGCAATGTTTGAATATAAGACGAGTAAAACTTACACACCGTGACGAAGTTTAGACAAAGGTTTGTTCAAAAGGCCTCTTTCGAAGGTAAATTGGCAGCTGACCTCTCACATTCTTGACAACATTTCACTTGCGGAGGTGAGTTGCATTTCAATGTTGTGGAAAAGTTGATTCGACTTTTGACGATCCTTTAGGTTTCCACATTTAAAAACCTCTTTTTATGGGTGTCATATTGTTCGAAAATATGACAGTACATAGTCACTGCAACGATCGCAAGCTTATCAGATGTAGCATCCAAAACTGAGGTTTGGATTTAGGGATAACTGTTCAGGAAGCTTAGATATGTGTCTTGTCCATTTTAAATCCAAAAAAGTTATTGGGTAGGTAACGGTTCTAAACAATATTACAGTGTTATTCCTTCAGGTATTCAATTAAATGATATTCCATCCCTCTTATAACACAGAGTGTTTCCAATTCTGTAAGAGTGCTGCGATTTCTAATTGAAATTGCACACTTCCAGCCAGTGTAAGCGCTTCAACCGTCAGAGGAACAAAATCAATGTGGCTGTCGCCATAACTAAGTATCAGCATAAACAACATGATGCAGTTCCAAAAGAAACATAGAAACTGAATAAAGGCAGGGGGAATAGAAACTATAACAAAATACAAATATTATCATCCCAAAATGGAATTGAATAGATTGCCAAAATGTAGAACTCAAAGAATCGATAAGGACATACTGCAAATGTATACATGGATTTTTATAAACAAAGCCTTCCAAAATGGATCTTAAATCATGCACGAAGAAAGTCAACTACATAAATTACTCTGAAGTAGCTGGTGCACTCTCCTGTTATTACTTCTTCTAACCCTGTTATAATTGACGATTACACTCTTAAGCATAAGTGTTTTGAGTACGTCTAGTGAGACCTCGCAAAATGCAATGTTTTGACTGAACATTTAACCTGAAGTATTAAATAACGCTTTAGATCGTTTATTGTGTCATATGCACGCAAACGTAGATCAATGTCTGTTCCGCTCCGTGCTTTCTAGAAGAGAGTCACCCCTTTGACGATACATTCCACATTGCTGTTCGTCTGGTTTCACAGGGTTAGGATATGCTACTGACAGTACCGAGCTGGCCTAAACGTCCAATCTATTTAGTGATCTTTTATCTATTTCAAGGCCTGTGTAAAGTACGTTCTCAAACACTCGCACTTTTCAGTAAATAATGAATTGTGAAAAGCGGAGATCATATATCAGATTACCTGGTAATCACAAGGCGTTTCAGGCATTTGCAAACATCGGTATGTTGAAACTACAGTCGACGCCCATTTTCCGAAAACGTTCTTGTAATATATGAAACGAAGACAATGTTTTGTTGACATGACCATGCACGGACTTGTAAGCAAAAGTTTTAGACGCTGCTTAGTCCATAATTTGAGTGTTCGGAACAAATTTACTACATATCATAACTTTAAAGTACTCCAGTAGTCTTGCAATGCCTGCAAGACGTTCTTGTCTACAAAGAGCATACATAGTGGTGTGCTATTGTGCAAAAATATTTGTTACGACTGAATGCGACAGTGGAGAAGTTCCAGAATATCCTTTTACTATTCGGCATCTACCCGGTTTTGTTAGTCTGATATTCGGTCAATTCATATCACTTCCAGAAACAGGTGGTAGATGGTCATTTATTCCGAACAGCTGGAGCATATGATTGATAACTTTTCATTTCCTTGGGATATTTTGACCTAAAGCATAAACTTACTTAAAATGAAGCGTACATGGACGACGGACGTTGTCTGCTTTGCGTGGGTTGTGGTGGTGAATGAGGTGTACAGCCATAGCAGAATTTTAATCATTATTGCTATCTACTTCCAGAAGGCAGACTCCGATCCTCATGGACTGTGTTTATGGCCTACGCTTCAAACATATCTAACAAAAAATAACTAAGAGTTGAATGATGCTCGTTCTTTTTACATGCCGATATGATATATTTAGTATTTGTATTCTACACAGTAATATTATTTTATGTACTTCATTCAAGCAGGTTTCATCATTGTTCCAACTAGTTAAGTGTCGCGAGAGCACGATAGTATTGAATTTTAGTCCTATATCATTCATAACTACTATGACATCACTCTCACTACTTGAAGGATGAAGGCTATCGGGCATAGCGTAGTAGAACTAAAAACAAATTTGCATGTAGCTTCAGCCTTTGGTTAGTTTGCGTTCAGCCAGGAGGTACCTTGTGTGCTACGGGGATCTGTGGGACAGCGTGCAAGGTTATCTGGGAGAGGAAAGAACAAGACGGTAAAGAGGATCGATGACTCAGTAAGCACACAGAATGCGCCTACACTAAATAGATAAATCAGTAGACTGAAACTTGAAATGAAAATTGAAACTAGAAGTTGTTAGAGATTGTTTCAAATGGGTTACATTCAGTTAATTTTATTCAGCCGCTTCTCGAAAAGCCTATGAATTGTCGTTGTGACGCACCAATCGTGTTATAGAAGTTTGACCTTCTGGAGTTAATCAACTTTCATCAATGGACGATGCCTCTAGGTCGTTGCCCTTTTCATTAAATAATAATGAAATCTGGAGGAAGCCCACCTTTTTATCTAAATGTCAAATTTCTAATCCTTGTTGCTGGCCTAAGAGATAACTGGTTTATAATCGTTTCACTATTTTATGAACTAAAATTTTATTCCACGTTCACTCTTTCTAAATTATAGTAAGGTGTAATTGTTGGCTCGATACTCCCAGAATTTATCCTCTGAGAATTATTTATGTTAAGTTTTATAAGACTTTCTAACGAATCTTCTGAAATAAAATGACTTCTTATTTTATGCAGCTATTATATTAACAACCAATTTTTCCTTTCTTGGCTTACTTTGCTGTAGAAAAAGCTTTTGGACCTGATAACAATGCCTTTGGGTTTATAATATGTATAGCATATTGCTGCTTTATGCCGGTAAAATATTTCTGTTTACTAAAATGGGTTCGGCATATCAGTGTTAATACCACACTGTATTAGGCTTTTGAAATTCTCTTGTGAATATCACGTTATTTACCAAGTAGCTTTTGTAATGAAGCTAAGAGCACTCAAACTAAGACTTGCATTTTTAGATCACAAAGCAACCTGCTATTGAACTGGACCACGTTGGTAAGTACAGAATGCCCAGGTGATGTTAGCGCGATTGTTGTGATAGATGGCTATAGACGTTGGGCTGTATAACTTAAAACCAGTCTCATTAACACAAAGATTATGTTTTTAAATATTATTTTCTGCTTTTTTATGAGTCATACCTTCTGTAACTTATCTTCCGTCTTGCTAATATCAGTCCGATGAGACTTATGTAGTGGTAGTTTTTATCGCATATATGAACAGTTGATATTCTATTTTATTGTTATATTATTATTGTTATATTTCATATTTTAGTTTATGACTAATATGCAGTCTCTTGAGGATTATTTTTGATGGCTATGCTGTGTGTCCACCGAGAAAGTTCAGCTCCTACTTTGCCTATTCAACAGTTTTATATTGGAAGTGAAGATAGTTATGGTATTGTTGGTGATTTACATAATTCCACCATTCTGCCTGTTCATCAAACAAAACATATCAGCATATCGTCTGATGAACCTGTAGAATCTTCTCTAATTGACTATTGTAAACAAAAAACAATTTTATATTCTCAACTTGCTGTAGCCGATCGACACTTACAGTCACCATATGTTCAAGAGATGGCTGGTTTTCCTGCTGAGACACCATCTCAATTATCTTCTACTAATTCTGACCACCAATTTAACCAACCTTCAAGAACCACTGATAGTCCTGTGGAAAATCTTAAACCATCTAGTGAGCCAACCGGAAATATTCAATCCAATATCCCTGATAAGGGAGGATATGAGATAAATGAAGGTTTGTTCCACGTTTTTGATTTCAAAGTTTTCTATGTTTTCGTTTATAATGTTATTGTTCAATAAGATCGTGTCTTAATATCTGGTTACTGTTGCAAAGGAAAAAAATTAAAACAATAATCTTTTACGTATCAATTAATGCTGCAAAATGGGGCTTTCCGCAATAAAATTTTAACGCACATTAACACGATTATACACTCAAATACCTTCAGTAATGCCTAGTTATAACTCACTGGTATTGAGGCGTTGATCCTGATGTTGAGCTATGCGTCGTAGGTCAATATTTCAGGATCACCTCATTCGAACTTTCCTCACTGTATCCGTCCACTCCATTCATAAACTTTAAGCAGTTTTAAATAATGGCTCATCGAGTGCTCGTTCATGTCAGTCAGTCAGTCAGATGCAACGTAGAACTTTGTACATAAGTACATCAGTTCATGTTGCCATACCACATCAGCACAGAGAAGTAATCGTCAATTCAAATCCAATAGTAGAAGAGGTAGTAAGGGAATTAGAAATAATCGGAGAGGTTAGGATTAGAAGATATTATTCAAGAAGTATGATTCAGTGAGATAAGTTTAGAGAGTCGAAACTAGAGGTGTTGAAGAATCCAAAAAGATTAGCATTTGAGAGAACACAGAGAATAAATGCACCGGCGCCATTGCGAACGATTTTGAGCCATGTCATTCAAGGTCTCTAACCATCGATTATTATCATCTCGCGGACCCCAACCAGGTAGTCGACAATTACCAACATGGCTCAGTCCACTAGTCAATGACTTCATGGATTTCTGCCATGTTTTGGTTTGGCCGCCTCTAACTTTCTTCCAACCTATTCCTACACTACAAAACAAGGCTCGACGAGGCAGCCGGTGGTTGGGCATACGCAACACATGTCCCAACCACCTCAACTGGTGAAGTTTCAATACTTCGTCGATTGATCTGCCATTCTTACCTAGCACCCGATTCCTAATAACAGCGTTGCTCACTCGGGTGCCCCACGATATACGAGCAATGCTTCGAAGACACCCATGATCGAAAACCACTAACCTACGAATATCTTCTACTCTCACTGGCCATGTTTCACAGCCATAAAGTAAGACGGAGCGAACTACTGCGCAGTACACTCGTCCTTTAGTCAGCAAACGGATATCTCGCCTACGCCATAAGTGACGCAGGTTGGCAAAAGCCAATCGAGCCTTCTGTATCCGTGCCGAGATTTCGTCAGTCACCAGGCCATCAGCACTGATGAGACTCCCAAGATAAGTGAAGCGGTCAACACGCTCGACTACTTCACTCCCTATCACTAGTTCAGGTGCCGATGCAACCCAATCTTGAAGCAACATTTTGCATTTCGAGGGGGAAAATCGCAACCCGAACATGCCTGCATTGTTGCTTAGGGTAGTCAGAAGACTCTGCATTTTGTCAGCGTCTTCACCAAGTAGGACAATGTCATCGGCATATTCTAAGTCAATCAGCGAGCCACCTGGTAGAAGTTCTACTCCTGAAAATTCAGACGAGGATAATGTTATGTCTAGGAGCATGTCTATGATAAAATTAAACAAGAATGGAGAAAGTGGACATCCCTGACGGACACCACTTGATGTAGAGAATTCCGGTGACAGTTCGCCATAAGCCCTCACTCGACCAGTGGTGTTCGAGTAAAGAGCTTGTATAAGGTTAATGTACTTCTGTGGTACACCTTTCAATGACAGACACTGCCACAGAACCTTACGATCCACTGAGTCAAATGCCGCCTTAAGGTCTAGGAAAACAACTACTGTAGGACGCCTAAATGTGTGTCTATGTTCCAGGACCTGTCTGAGTGTGAAGACGTGGTCTATACAACCACGTCCAGGTCGAAAACCAGACTGGTTTTCTCGAGTTTGCTCTTCACGAGCTTTCGTTAAGCGTCGAAGTATTATTGAGGCCAGTATTTTAGATACTATATTAGTTAGACTTATTCCCCTGTGATTGTCACAAGAAGACTTTTGTCCTTTCTTATAGATTGGGACAATCAAGGATTGAGACCAGTCGGATGGGATTACGTCCAGTTCCCAGATTCTACCTAAGATCTCAGTCAACCTAGCTGCTAAAACTGGACCACCATCCTTAAATATCTCGGGGGTCAGTCTATCAGGACCTGCAGCTCGTCCTCGTTTCAGATTTCCTAACGCTTTCTCAACGTCATCAAGACTAGGGGGACTTAGGTCGATTTGCCATTCAGGATGACTGGAGATCGTGGGTAACCGAAGAGTGGCTCGTGGCCAGTTGAACTGATCCCTAAAGTGTTCTGCCCATCGATCCAGTCTCCTGGATTGAGAATGGATAATAATCCCATCCTTTCCCGAGATAGTCTCACTCACATTCGGGTTCTTAATACCAGTTTCTTTAATAAGGCGGAAAAGTTGTCTACTGTTGCCGATCGCCGCTGCCTTTTCCATCGCTTTTGCTTTCGCCACCCACCACTGTTCGCGGTCGTTACGCAGACTTTTTATAAGTCTACGCCTAAGCTGACTACGCTCTTCATCATGCTCAGAGTCAGGTGGGATGCGTTTTCGAGCATCCATCAGTTCGGTGGATGCGACTGATATCCACGGCTTCATCCTAGCCTTATGGTTTACCTTACTAGCAGATATCACTGCTGTTTCCACAGCCTTTTTGACATCATACCAACCTGCTTCTGGATGGGAATCACTTACATCGTTGCATAACTCTCTTTCTAGTTCCTCCTGAAATATTTTCTTGGTTTGATTATCATTAAGTAAAACCCTGAGAGGCTTTCTTACGGTGTCTTTCCTACGCCCAGTAATCCTTAAACAGATACGAGCTCGCACTAGAGCATGATCTGAATCCAAACATGTGCCCCAGAACGAGCGACAGTCTTCTATCGAACCCCTCCATCGGTGACTGATGGCGATGTGATCTAGTTGAGTCCAACGTTGAGACGACTTTGGAGGTCGCCAGGTCAGCAGATGCTTTTCCTTATGCCTAAAGTTGGTGTTCGCTAAGAATAGGCGGTTATCTGAGCATAGTTGCAACAGACGGTCTCCATTGTCTGTTCTCTCAGTCGCTACACCATAACATCCACCAAGGTGTCTTTCCTTTTCACCTAGTCTACCTACTTGAGCATTAAAGTCACCAGCCATTATTACTATATCAGAGCGCCTAGCTTTTTGAAGGAGGTCCGAAAGCTTTCTGTAAAACTCATCTTTAACCTCGTCTGCACTGCAGTCAGTGGGGGCATAGGCAGATATGACGAAGAGGCAACGGCGAGTGTCCCTATCCTTACGAGTCCTTAATGTCCCGTTTAGTCGGACAGCGCACAAACGACTATCTACTGGGATCCAGTCTAGGAGAGATAATTCTGCCCTAGGACTCAACGCTATGCCTACCCCAGCAAGACCCCTGGAAGCAGCATCAGGGCTACCGGATACACGAAGAGTAAATCGAGCTGTTTCTACGTTTTGACAAGGTGAAATCAGGTTAATGACTTTACTAGGATCCTGTATGCGCGTTTCCGAGACGCAGCATACATCGATGGCACGAGATTCTAAAGTCCTAGCTAATGATGCCTGTTGCCCTATTTGACACAATGTCCGTACATTAAAAGCTCCAATATGTAGTCTAGAACGGGGTTTCAAGAGACCAGGAACGACGTTTCGTGATCTCACTTCGTCTGCATTAGCGGTGCAGTGAGAAAAGGGAGTGTGAGTAGAGTTAGTCGTAGAGATAAGAGAGACATTAGGGGGTGTAGGAAGGATTTGATTTTGACAAATTTGGTCTCGCGTGCTGGTACGGGTATGAGGGCGGTTGTCACTTCCCGGCTGCCCACACCGTGGAAGGTTGTTTCTTGAGGGACCTGAAAAGGAAGATGGATTAGTGTTGGTGCGTGACCGCAGAGTCCAAGGGACAACTGCTTGAGGCCGGTCACGCACGGCCTTTTTATCAAAGGTATTTTGAGGATTAGCTCCGTTCTTAAAGGCCCTTAGTGGGCACCCTTACCCAGGGAGACGGAAATCCGTGAGTTAGGGGGAGTGTGACATTTTTAGGGCCGACCTTTTCTAACCCTTCCTTCCTTGTGAGAAGGCAGCATCGCTGCAGATGCTGGTTGTCCGAGGGAAACACCTTACTGCTGTCACACCCCTCTGCAGTCAGCAGTACGACTTCGCCCTCAGACCTTGGGTAGCTGCTTTTAGTCTCATCGTTCTCCAATCGACCTGCCTGGCATGGTAGGACCTGCAGGAACATATGTTCCAGCCAGTATAGCTCGGTTGGGTCATCACGATAGGCAAGCCCGACCACCACGTCAAGGTAGCAGCTTCGGTCGGGGTAGCAGCTTCGGTCGGGTAGCAGCTTCGGTCGGGGCTCGTTCATGTTCTTAACTTTGAAGTTCAATCCAAACATTTTAGGGATAACGGTATATCAACCAAAGTGGGTGAGGCAAGGTTTGGAATAGCGGCGTTGTTTGTTCGAGTATATTAACCACATACCTTCCCATGGACTCATAAATTGCTAGATAACTAATATATAAAATATTGTCACTAGCTTGATTATAATGTTCAGTGTCTGATTTTCTTATATTAGCCACTTTGCTAAATATGTCACCCTAAATTTTGAGGAAGCATATTTTTTAATGATCGCTGTCAAATGATATTTTAAACATTTCGCCTACAATTCATACAAGCTGCACCAGCTTAAAAGGTAAATTGTAAGCCAACCAGCGTAATTTTAGTTTCCTCTTCTATTCCTAAACATTCATTCTTTTTCATCGCTTAAAATATATTTTCTAACTTGAAAAAGCTGCTTGCGTAATTATTGAGCCTCAGCAGATAAAATACTGAGATTCGTAATATGTCCCAACTACTCAGGGTCGATCCCCAACGTTTGAATAATTTTTTCTTGTTAGCGTTTTTTAGCGAGTTAGTTTTCTACGGGATGGGGTCTATAACCCCATGCCCGAATCTGCTTTATCCGGGCTCGGGACCGGCAGTAACCCTAGAGAGGTTCCAGGTAGAGTTCGATCTTCAAAGTTTAACTGAATAAATTCCAGAAGATAGAAACAATCGACTGAACTAATATTAGGCTGTGTGTGTGTAGACATGCAAAATTACATCACTTGGTTTCCTGAAAGCTCTTTTCAGTGCACGGAATTTCTCCTGGGTTTACTTGGAGTCAAATTATTGGCCTCAGTAATACTTCGACGCTTAACGAAAGCTCGTGAAGAGCAAACTCGAAAAAATCAATCTGGTTTTCGACCTGGACGTGGCTGTATAGACCACATTTTCACACTACGACAGGTCCTGGAAAACAGACACGCATTTAGGCGTCCAACAATAGTTGTTTTCCTAGACCTTAAGGCGGCATTTGACTCTGTGAATCGTGAGGTTCTTTGGCAGTGTCTGTCATTGAAAGGTGTACCAAATAAGTACATTAACCTTGTACAAGCTCTCTACTCAAACACCACTGGTCGAGTGAGAGCTTATGGCGAACTGTCACCGGAATTCTCTACTTCAAGTGGTGTCCGTCAGGGATGTCCACTTTCTCCACTCTTGTTCAATTTTATCATAGACATGCTCCTAGAAATAACATTATCCTCGTCTGAATTTTAAGGAGTAGACCTTCTACCAGGTGGCTCGCTTATTGACTTAGAATATGCCGATGACATAGTCCTACTTGGTGAAGACGCTGACAAAATGCAGAGTCTTCTGACTACCCTAAGCAACAATGTAAGCATGTTCGGGATGCGGTTTTCCCCCTCGAAATGCAAAATGTTTCTTCAAGATTGGGTTGCATCGGCACCTGAACTAGTGATAGGGAGTGAAGTAGTCGAGCGTGTTGACCGCTTCACTTATCTTGGGAGTCTCATCAGTGCTGATGGCCTGGTGACTGACGAAATCTCGGCACGGATACAGAAGGCTCGATTGGCTTTTGCCAACCTGCGTCACTTATGGCGTAGGCGAGATATCCGTTTGCTGACTAAAGGACGAGTTTACTGTGCAGTGGTTCGCTCCGTCTTACTTTATGGCTGTGAAACATGGCCAATGAGAGTAGAAGATACTCGTCGGTTATTGGTTTTCGATCATGGGTGTCTTCGAAGCATTGCTCGTATATCGTGGGACAACCGAGTGAGCAACGCTGTTATTAGGAAACGGGTACTAGGTAAGAATGGCAGATCAATAGATGAAGTGGTGAAACTTCATCAATTGAGGTGGTTGGGACACGTGTTGCGTATGCCTAACCAGCGACTGCCTCGTCGAGCTTTGTTTTGTAGTGTAGGAATAGGTTGGAAGAAAGCTAGGGGCGGCCAGACCAGAACATGAAGTCATTGACGAGTGGACTGAGCCATGTTGGTAATTGTCGACTACCTGGTTGGGGTCCGCGAGATGATAATAATCGATGGCTAGAGACCTTGAATGACATGGCTCAAAACCGTTCGCAATGGCGCCAGTGCATTTTTTTTGTGTTCTCTCAAATGCTAATCTTCTGGGTTCTTCAACACCTCTAGTTTTTACTTTCTAAACTTATCTCATTGAATCATATTTCGTGAATAATATCTTCTAATTCTAACCTCTTCGATTACTTCTGATACCTTTACTACCTCTTCTACTATTGGATTTGAATTGACAATTATATCTCTGTGCTGATGTGGTATGGCGACATGAACTGATGTACTTACGTACGAAGTTCTACGTTGCAACTGACTGACTAACTGGAGTCAAATATTTTGGCGTTCGTTGGATATAGAGCACAGATAAGTGGTTACATCTTCCAGTTATCTGCATTACTTCAGGAAGTGATACTTCCATCGTCCTAAATGTATTTGAATATTGTTTTCTGTCATACCATCTGACCTCCAGACTATCACTGATACTAGGATTCGTCTTATTTCAGTCGGGTAAATCCCGTGTTGGCATTTTATAATGACACTCTCGATTGGATAAATTAGGCATGGTACAACTGAGTTAGATTTTTTACCAGTGTCTTCATGTTGTTAACTATTTTCTCATCCTTAGATTTCTTACGCGAACCAGCTCCAAATGGTGGTTGGGGTTGGCTTGTTGCACTAGGAAGTTTTCTTTGCATATTTACCGTGGATGGTGTGTGCTTTACTTATGGCTTACACATTAATGAAATGATTCACGAAGGACAATTTAGATTGGATCCATCTAATCCAAATAAAGCACAAAGAGAGACATCTTTAGCTTTGCTAAGCTTGCCTGGAGCATTACTGTGTGGAATGTATTTTTTATTCGGTAGGTGAACATGTTTTGAAAACACTATAGGATTTTTTCCAAGAGAAATGTTTCGCTGAATTATTTCAAACTGTTTTACACTATAAAAATCTATTATAACATATAGTATAACTTTTGGTTAATATAAGATGTCTGTGTACCCAGTAATTTACCTTGTTTCACTTAAGTTTTATCTCTATCAAAGTCTGTTGACCGCCCCATTGATTAAGCTGACTACCATTTTAGTCATTAGTTATTGGTGACGTTAGACTTGGCACTAATATCCAGCAATCTAAGTTGTGAAGCCTCGCATCTTGTTAACATCACTTTTCTACTTATAATATAATAATCACCCTATTCAACATGAAGTATTATTATTGTCAGCAGTAATGCGAAGAGAAATTGACAAGTTGGGGGAAAAGTGGAAAGAATAGTGCCAACAATAATGAAAAAAACTACGAATAAAGTGGGAGAGAAATAACTGTAACTTGATGGAAAGTATTAAATATATGGTAAGTTAAAAACTTGTCAATATAAGTGTGATTATTGTAACTGCGATTGGCATAGAAGTATTTCATGTGGTCTTCAACCATAGATTACAAGTGTGCAGTGAACCGCAGCCAGGAGGCTTTAATCTTTTTAGCGATTCTCTCACAACCAATCATTTTATAACACGATTCCACTCTTTGTCTATCCTTCACTTTTTCTTTAGTTGCTTTAGTGCTGCTCAGTACAAGCCAATGTAATAGATGATTAGGTTAGTATGTATAGCATCAGTTAACGATAGTTTGTAGGCTAACCAACCTATTCACAACCTTCAACTTGAGACGTTAGTATTACTCACCATGGTTCCACTGTACGCAAGTAGCAATGTAAATAAAGTACCACATACTTTCAAGTTATACATAAGTTCTTATTTCATTGACTATACAACCATAAAGATTTTCGATCTGGTGTAGACAGATATTATTTTTTATTTCTGTATATTGCAGAAGTTTTATCAGTCACTGATCCTTCAGGGTTGACAAGATTCCAAAAGTATGTAAAATAGTCAACCATTTCACTCCATAGAACTAAATCGACCATTGAAACAGCCAAAGTCTAGTGGATTATTTCGATTTCAAAGAAAATTAAGTCATCTTAAATACTCTTGTAATACCACTCAAGGCGTTCAGAAGATTGCATTTAGTCTGTATCTTCAGACAAAGCTCTGTCATCTACAACTTCCAACTTACTTTGGGTTTCCAGGTGGAAGATCAATCTATGAAAATTTACACTAAGAAAGAGCTTTTCTCAAGTAGATAGTATAGTAAATAAAAGTAGATTGGACAAATCTCTTAGAAGTGCATCTATCACCGAACTCTATCCTAGCGGAAAACATCCATGTAAAGGTGGTTTAGTATTTTGACATACGTCTTCAGCATACATTATTAACGTTATTTTCAGCATTCTCGTACGATAGAGAAAAAAATCGTCCATAGTGCAAAAAGTGCACTTACAGTCAATTCTCTGTAACAGTTTCCATGGTTTAGAATCTGATGAACGATCGACCAGTTATGTATAAAACCAGCGTCAGCTGTTCTCAAGTTTCCGTTGAGTAGGACTATCATATGCTCTTGACGAACATAGTGGTCAGACTTATTTCTCTTCCGTTTCTTAACCCTTTTTTATTCGAAATATCAGGCAACTTTCCCGAAGTAATTGCATTCATTTCAAAGTAATAAGTTAAACCATTTTCTTCAGATACAGTTGAAAGACGTCAGTCATGACCTGCTTCCCTTTTTTGTCTTCAATTTAGTTACAACTGTGTAAAGTAAACTGAAAGTTTCAGTCTCAATATCAATTACTTATTGTAACTGTTGGTGAATAATACTAAACCTAAGAATTAAGTAGAGCTTATTTTAGGTTTTCCTCATCCGATCTTCTGTGCTTTTGAGATCACCGCTAGTCGCCTAGTCATTCACTCTGTTGTCATCAACAAGAGAGTGTAATGACATACTAAAAAGTTTTCTATGATGTCTACTTTTGCATTGTATGAAATTGTTTCATCTATTCGCAACATTAGTTTACAATAATGGCTGCTTCTCAGTTTTTAAAAAAATAATTGGAATTCCGAAATGGTTCGTTCATTAGTCTGATTATTTAGTCCATCAGTCATTTCGGAGTTTTGGATTTACCCAATATTTATGATACTCAAAAAAAAATTGATTTCTTTGGTATACACTTCTAACTCCAGCTATTATATGTAAATTAGGTATTATTGTTCTTAGTTATTATCTTTTAACACCACTATCAGAATTCAGTGAACAGAGAGGTTTCACTTAATAAGTTATTCACAATACATCAATATTTATGATTACATTTTTACATGTACAAATATTTTCCCGTTTTTATTAGGTCCACTTACGGGTGCTCTGGTAAATCGTTTTGGCTATCGTATAGTTGCATCAATTGGTGCAGTTATTACTTCATTGTGCTTTCTGATAAGTGCTTTATACATTTATGATTTGGTTACATTCACTATTGTATTCGGTATAATTGGTGGTGAGTGAATTACTTGATATTGTAGTGTTTAATTTTTTTTATCTAGTGTTCATTTAAAATAAAAATTTTTTTTACAGGAATCATGAAAAATACATGTTCGGTGGTTGGATTTGAACCATTAAGATATAGTTTGTCAGTTTGGTAATGTAACAGATGAGCTACAGAGAATGTGGTTTAAAATCAGTTGTAATAAATTCCTATCACTAGTATATTTTAATAGTAACTAGCAGACGTCGTTTTATCTCATATTTATTAGTTGTCTGCTACTTGAATGGAATAAATCTGTTCATTTGTAATCCGGAATACATCTAAAATGTATCAATCTTTATACTGCAGTCGGTTTCAGTTGACTTCCTTGCTAGATATCTGCAAATATCTAAAAGTTGTTATATATGGTTTGATTTTATGTTAATTATATATTATAATGTTAAAGTTTATATTTGCTAGAGCACAATGAAGTTTTTCCCTCCTAAACTATAATATGTATTGAATATTTCGTGTAAAATTTAATCTCTAACCATATTCACTGCGTAATTTCAACATATTAGTAACAAAAGGATAAGTTAGTAGCTTAGCTCATATAGTATATTTATAGACAAGTGACAATCAGAGCTATTGCAAATATTTTTATAATAGTTGCACTATGATGGTTGTTCTGCCCATTTATTGGAATTAAGCTTTTACCTTGGTTGATAAGTAGGGAAGAAAGTATTCTTGATTAAAATGTAAAACTAACGGTATCACTTACTCACGCCTATTATCCCCGGTTGAACATAGGCCGCCGATTAGCGATCTCCAATATACTCTGTCTTTGACTCTCCTTCCCAGTTGTTTCCGAGTGCTAGTCATTCTTTCGAAGTCTGTCTCCGATTCCCAGCTCAGTGTGTCTTGTCAATTCCAAGTTACGGCTTGCTTTGTGACAAAGTCTACTAATTTTCATAATGTGTATTTTATCTACTTTCAGCGTTTTTCTTATATCCTCTTTTGTTGTAAGCTGGTTCGTTCTCTGAGGCAGTGATTAGGGATGAATTAGTTGGGCGTGTTGACCGACATCCTCCCACCTAAATGTAAGATGTTGCTTCAGAATCGGTGTATATGGGCACCTGAATTAGTGATAGGGAGCGTGTTGACCGTTTTACTTTTTCTTAGGAGTCTCATCAGTTCTGGTGGTCCGGTATGTTACGAAATCTTGGCATTGATACAGAAAGCTCGATTGGCTTTCGCCAACGTGCACCACTTATGGCGTAGGCGAAATATCCGTCTGCTAACCACCTGACGTGTCTAGTGCGCAGCAGTTCGCTCCGTTTTATTATACGGATGTGGAACACGGCTAATAAGACTAGAGGATATCCGTAGACAGCCAGTAGTCGATCGTATCTTCGAAGCATTGTCGGTGGATCCTAGGACCACCGAGCAGGCAGTGCAGTTGTTAGGAAACGGGTACTGAGTAAAGATGGCAGATCAATTAATGAAGTAGTGAATGTTCATCATTTGAGGTGGTCGGGACATATGTTACGTATGCCTAACCGAACATTCTATAACATTGATAACAGCAAAGTTTAAAGGGCTGAGAACTTTACGTATGCACTTGTCGATCTGAAGCATTAAAGACTGTAGGCGTTTGGCGCGAACCAGTCAAAATAAAATGAACTCATGCTATGCTGTTCGAATCTTTGTTTTTTCTATCTTTGAGATAATAATTAAGTATTATGTTTATTTTCTAGGAATTGGTTGCAGTTTAGTTTATTTACCGGCAATTACAGTTGTTGGACACTGGTTTGAAGAGCATCGAGCTTTTATTGTTGGTATTGTAATGTGTGGTGGTTGTTTGGGTGCCGGTTTAATGGCTATTATTACACCCTACTTAGCGCATCATTTTTCATGGCGTGGTAGTCTCATTCTACTTAGTGGACTACTTGGTCAAACCTTAGTAAGTTGTCAATTTTTATTGTATTCATGATTGATTCAACATAAAATTGACTAGGGTAATACATACGTTTGTGAATATTGGATTAATAAAATATAGTGTCATCACTTTGGAGACCTCCAACTAACGTACTTATCCAACTTTGTTGTTTTTAGCACTCATTAAGCAACACTCATCTTACGGTAGATGTAGAATATCGCTCAACCGGCATATTATATATGAAAGTATTCTGGGTTTGAACATTCAAGGATATATTTCTTTCAGTTTGTTGGTTTGATTCCCTATATAATGATTGAATAGGTTTCTATGGATTCCATCCAATCATTAGAAATTACTGTGTCTAATAGTTATTACTAGTGATGCAATCAAGAAAACTAAGTTACCATATTAGATTGATGTTAATTATTGTGATGAATGAAATACTGTAAGAAATCACATTTATTCGTTATTCACCAGCTATTCCTTTTATGAACATGTTCATTTGTAGCAGATATTCACATATGATGAATACAGTAAGATAGGAAATTAATATGAGAAGTATAAAAAGAGTTGAAAGAAGTCCTACATATTACTGGTGGTGGAAGCAAAAATTGAAAAGCATGCTCTGAAAATAACGTATGTACTCAAGGAATACAAAATATCAAATAATATTCGATCCCGATATTCGATGAAACATAAGGAATGAATATCTGTAAAAGTGACAGGTTTTGAATCATGTCACTTAAAGTGTTCAATCCTTAAGCGCGATCATTGCGTCTTCCTTAGACAAAAAATATTCACATACCGGTACATCTCGAACTAACATTTAAGTAACTTCATGAACGTTTAATTGACTGTTTTGGCATTTCTAATTGGTACTCTGAATCCTACATCAATATTGCTTATTCATTTGTTCCATTTTTTGTAACAAATATTTGCAGGGTAGCAGGTACAGAATTCTAACAACCAAAGTATATCTACATTCAGCGTTTGTTTCATAAGAAGCTAACTATTGCACAATATACTGAGTAGACAACGTTATCTTGTTGTGCATATTTCTAAAAATCTACTGAAACGTATCATCAGTCACAAAGAGTTTTCAAGGCGAGAGTAATACTATTAGTATCTCGTAATGGATTAATTATTTGAAGATGCTTTTGCTAGTCTAAGGTAGATCCCCTCTCCTTTGCAGCATTCAGAGACAAACTTTAGCAGTCGAATATCTCTGTTTTTTCCTTTATATCGCTTTTTACTGATGGAAGTTGATGAATTTATAAATCCTAGAAATCAGAAACTATAAAATCCTGGTATATGTTTATAAATCGGTCTTCCAAGGAAACCAACGGTAGAGAATCATGTTAACCTAATTTCAAGCTATTCAGTTTTAAAGTTAAACTAAGAAGTCACTTTTATTTAAGCGCATAAACTTCTGTACAAGGGGGCGCTAAATATGCGCCACACAATGAGCTTTCGGAAATATAGAGAAAAGTGAGCATAATAAAAGTGGATCGAATTGTTTGAAATTGTAATAATAATATTTGGAGAAGCAATTCAGGTGATGAAAATACAAACATAGAATTCACCTCATTTATTTAAAGAAATTAAAAGGAAATCACATTAGGACCGCCACAGTCTTCTGTTCGGATCCATGTCTGATAACATTTCAAGCCGCTAAGTTGGATTATCTCCATCGCCCCAAACCAGGAATCCGTAAAGACCTGACATATGTCATTAACGTATATCTTTCTTTCATACCACGATACCATGTCATACACTGGCCACCTCTCCGTTTTTTAAACCAGTCACAGGCATAAACCGCTCTGGATGCCACCGTACGCAAATGGATGTCGTCACTTATATCACCACCAGCATTCACACAAATGTTCAGGTACTTTTTTCTCCTCACTTCCAAAAGTATGTGTAGATATAGGGTGTTGCCAGTCTAGTAAAATTACTTTGTATTCAGATGTTAAGCATATACCATACCTACGAACACTGATTGAAAATTGATTAACTGAGAATTTTATGGCTTGTGTATCACCACACAGTAAAACACTATCATCCGTGTACTGAAAGCCGAAAACTTTTCGCGGCGCTTCTCAAGTTGGAGTTCCTTTCAGGTTTTCCGCCTTGTTAGGTGGATCAATCGACTGTGGCCACGGAGGATCGGACGGTTTGTTTGATGCTGCTAGTGCGGCATAACAGCTGAACTGTTCCTTGGGAAACTCTATCCATCATCCGAAACGTTCATAAATGCCATTTATTGGTTTCCCATCAGTTTTACAAATTGTTTCGCTCACACCAGACTTCTTGTTGCCAGTTGCTCCTTGGCTGAGTTAAAGAGCTTCTAGTAGTTACTAGATTGTAACTCGATAACATTCTCTGACCACCAGGTTCCTTAATCCTTACTGAAACTCTGCACTGTTTGGTTGCCGGGCAATCCGTGGTTATCTGAAGTAGACCGTCGTACTTCAGTTAGTTGTGGGTTGCCTGTAGAAACCCAGCGCTCGTAAACGAGAAATGTCGCGACCCCTCACATCTCTCTACTCTCCATTTTAATGGCGTCCTGCAATTTCAACCAATGTTTATCTGTACTTTCTTGTGTCGTTAGCTAGTCTTGAACCTAGCTTGGTTTGATATTTAATTACGGCAGAATTTACAATCAATTTGCTAACATCAATGCGTTCGAGAGATTGAATTTTTTGGCGAATGGAGCCTAAGATAAGATTAGCGCACACAAGGGCGTGGTCAAAGTCTCGATAAGTACTGCAAAAGGGGCGACTAAATGATTTCCACAATGTGTGTCCTATCCACACCCAATTATTTCTCTTAATTCCATTCTCAGCTGGAAGCTGGTTTAGTCTCCCAACCTATGCATTTAAATTTCCCGCTAGCACTACAATATCTGTCGAACTCACTTTCTGAAGGTCACTTGACTGGTGGTAGGACTCATCCTTGATCGCATTGGGCTGTAATCTGTCGGGTTATAGGCGAAGAAAACGAAAAGAATCGCTACGCATACCGATTTCTCACTTCGACGGAGTTTTCTAAATTATCAACTAGTAATCGACTATTAATATGAATCTAGTCGATTAACACTGACCCATCTGTAGTGCTAAGTGCGATATTAATGCCAGCAGAATCAGAGGAAAATTCAACAGGGCTTCGGAAAAACGCACACAAAACAAGCTTTTCGAAGTAACGTAGAGAGACCGAATCAGTAGTACTTTTCTTGACTCTTGAATTCGGGTCGTGGATAGACAACAGATATCAATGTTCAGACTTTCCAAAGACGTAACCAACTCTTTTTGTCGTCCGATCTGCATTAATGTGCAAACGTTGTAAAAGGTCAGTTTGGATGACAAATATTTTCGGAAAGGCCGATTCAGAACTATTATTCCATGGTATTATTCAATTTTCAATCAGTCTGACTTGAGGTCGTGTAAGTGAGACGGAATTTCCATCATAGGCGAGCTGTAGTATTAGTTGAAGAATAAACCAGTACAAAAAAATGAGAATAAATGGACTAATCGAGTGGTGCAAGGAAAAGTGAAAATAAATATTAACAAATAGTTTTGGGTGTCATTTACAAGAATGGGGACTGAAGCGTGAATAGTTTTCTTAGTTATGGTTACCATTTAGTTAATAAGGGCTGAGATACTGAAATAATCCTACTACACATTATACTTTGGTTTTATACTTTTTTGCTTTCATTCCATACCACATGAAATCGAAGCGAAATATTTACTGACAGTAAATTTAAAAAGTAACAAATCAGAAGTACTGGTAGATGTACATGATATATTTTTCAATAGCCAATTTATTGTGGTTACAAGACATTAAATGTAATAGGAACAATTAAAGTGTTTTTCGACTTGGCATCTCAATATTGCCATTACGTTTTCCAACTTGAAAATTAAGATGTACTATATATATATTCGCTGATAGACACTGTTAATCTTTTCATTTGGTTAAAATTATAAAGTACATTTTCATTTTCGACCTTAATACATAGGCGTATTATGTATGTAAACCCTAAAAAAAATCATATCTTTTCACTGTATTTGAATACTTAATAAATCGTCACATTGAGTGTTTTCATTGCTTTAAAGAAATGCTATGAATATAGTAGTTCTGTGTTACAAATTTGCATTTTCATCTCACCATAAATTTTAAAAAGTAGATTTTCTAAGTATATGAAGTAAAAATTATCACGTTTCTTTATTTATTCAAATTTCTATTCTAAGTATTATCACAACTCTTTTTCTGTCAAATGATCTCATAAATTAGAATCATTTTTGAAGAAGTGAATTAGTGTTAAATCATTATGTATCTGGTTTTTTTTAATGTACTATTGAAAACCAGCGATTACGAATTATGTGTTTCGTGGTGTTATAAAGCTACTTGGTTCAATACAAAACACAACCCCAACCGATAGTCGACGAACTATTTGAACTTTAGACTACTGCATTATAATCTAATGGTTTATGTCTCTAATTTCAGGTGATTTTGGAAACTAGTACAATAATCATCCAATGTTAGTCATGATATTGTTGAATTAGAGTAGTAAAAATGTCTTATATTAGAACTGGGAAAGAATTCACTGATAATAGTGACTGGTGGATTGAAGGTTGGTTTAATTGTTTTCGTAGGATGCGTTAGATGCGCACTGCTGAGTAATTTCATACTGGAGCTAAACAATTATTCAGCACTCCCAAGTTACTGTTGTATCTTAAGTAGTTCCAATTTGTGACGTACACTACCTAAAATTAAACTCACTAAAGTTTAATTTTATCACTGTTAAATAACTAGGTCTTGAAGAATTCATCCAACTATTTCCATCTTAATGTAAATCAGTTCTTTAGGTTTTGCCACAAGAACATCTTTTCCATTTGTTCGATTTGATGATAGAATCTAAACCCTATAAAATATAGTGATTGTTTTTCCGAATCTATTTTAATTTTATTCATAGTCTCCTAAAAGATGATTCGATATCTAAGTAAAAATTAACGACTGATACAATGTATGAATTCAAATATATATTTGAATATGTCAATTACTTAATAAAATAATTCTGTACCTATCTTCCAAAGATATTATGTCAGATTGTGGAAGAATATACTTCAATTGCTTATTATAATAATTCATTTTTGATATAATTAATCTTTGATGACTTTGTAAATCCTTTTAAAGTGAGATATACCCACACTATTGTGGTTGCTTGATCTTGTTACACCTTTATTTTATTGCAAACAAATTATCTAATGGAATTATTATTTTGATAATTGATGTGAACATTAATAAGTGTTTATTGATTTGATAACTAAGTGAATTATCACTTTACTTTACTTTACTTCTTTCATCTTCTTTTATTTGACAACAGGTTGGTATAGCACTATTTCGTCCAGTGAGTGTACATGAAAAAATTAAAGCTATTCGATTATTAAAAGAAATGGAGAAAAAACAACTTAAACCAAAAAAGTGTAAATTTAATTGTTTATTATCTAGTCATAAGTCAAAACAGAATCCCATAAGAAAAATTGCAATTCAACGGTAAGTATGTTTCATGAATGGCGTACATATGATTTGGTTAATCTGTAAATTGAAATTCACGTTTGGTCTTCCAATTGAAAGAGTAAAAATGTTACTGTTAACAGTAAACAACTAAATAGTGTAAAATAAGCACGAAATAATAAGTATATATATATATATATACCCTTGATTCATAGTAATATAGTGCAAATGTAGATATACCGCTCAGAATCCAGAGGAGCATTCACTGTGGTGGAGTTTCGTTCTGTAAACTGAATGTTTTGCTTGTGGCGCTTTCATTGTTCTTCTGAACAACATCATCGGCACAAACTTCAGATAGAAGTGAAGTATTCGAAATGCTCCACGTTTGACCCGTAGCTTGTTCTGTTTAAGGTCAAAAACAACCAATCAAGATTGAGGTTAACAGAACAAGCTATGAGTCAAACATGGAGAAATTCGAATACTTCACTTCTATCTGAACTTTGTTCTGAAAATATTGTTCAGATGAACAATGAAAGCTCCACAATCAAAACATCCAACTCAGAGAACGAAACTCAACCATAATCATCCACCTGAGCTACGAATTTTCTCCAACGAATGCATTCACTCGTTATATTTCCGTATATAATAACTTTTACAATAACCTTATACTTTTTAATCTATGGATTTATTATTTCTTCTAATATTATATCGTTTATACCTAAAGTTTTCTACTACTGGTACTATTACTACCTTGAGAATCGTCTTAAACATTTCATCGCACCATGTTGATATGATGCGGTAACTTAAACTAATGCTGTATCACATTGTCTGTATCTATAGATTGCAGATTTCAAAAAGCTTGTCTTCGACTTTGTTAATCGATACCATTAATTTGTTCTATCCTCATTTGACCAATTTCCAAATCTGCTTCTGTGCTAGTGAAATAGGCGTTAGATGAACGTGCCCATCACATGCTTTAACTAATCTAATCTATGAAAATTCGTTACTATAATGGTTTCCAAATGTATATTACATTTCGTCTAAAAACTTCCTAACACATGTAGTTCATCTCTGGATTTAGTTGTATTTAGTAATTGAACCCATAAAGATGATATCTACAAACTGCCCAATATTAATCGTTTGCAGTAAACGACAAGTTCAGCATTTAGAATCATCTGTTGTTCAAGTCATGGTATTCTATAGTTGTTAACACAATTGCCTTCCTAAATGTATAAAGAATACCATTGTTAAATTCTAATATATTACTAAATACACTAATTAACTCCATTAAATGTTTGCAAAAAAATCTCTTGCAAGCTTTCGTTGCCCTCTCAGGAATTTATTATATTCTTTAATCTTATTACTTTATCTATTTGTTCGTCTCTAATATTATGCCGCGTAAGTTCTTCTAACACGGCATATACTTTTATGTCCCTAATAGATTAAGCCACGTGACAGACAAGAAGCATTTATTTCTATGTTTCAATAAACATAATATGTATTTGTGTGTTTACGTCGTTAATATATGTTCCTTGTTGTTGATTGAATTTTATTTATAGTCTGAAATGAATTTTATGTATTGTCTTATGATTGTCGCCTTCAGAAACATTTTTCGATTGTCTATCGAAAGCAGAATAAAATCAAACTAAGATTTTAACCGATTTCACACTAGACACATAATATATTTTGTTATTTAGTTTTACGTTTATTCTAAGTATGGTTTTATGTTATATTTTAATGAGTGGGATACATATAATTGAATTAGGCTTTTAGACTATTAAAACTAGGGGGAAAGATGTAGTCAACTTTCATGTTATTTTCATTCAAGTTTGGCTTAATGTTTACATTTGAACAATAGCTAACTAACTAAACGTGTACGGTCTCTTCTGATCAAAACAATTGGGCAATACTATTAATTACTGTACGATCTGTCTTATACATTGTTTCTATTTGGTTATTGAACAGAAATTTCAATCAGTTGCAACGTAGAATTTTGTACCTATGTACATCAGTTCAGGTTGCTATACCGCATTAGCACAGAGACGCAATTGTCAGTTCGAATCCCATAGTAGAAGTATTGGCGGTTATGAAGAAGATTAGGGTACGGAGATATTATTTATGAAGTTTAATTCAGTGAGATAACTTTCATAACAGAAAGATAGAGGTGATGGGGAATTCAAAAGTTCAGAGAACACAAAAAGTGGATGCACCTGCGCGCCATGGCAAACAATTTTGAGCCATGTCGTTCAAAATAATTTCTGTTTCACAGTAACACTGTACTTCGTATAACAAAGTAAATTGCTATGATAAATGTTTTGACCTAAGGCAATAGTTTTTTTTAATTTCAGAGGCTCTATAATGGCTCGGATAATTGAAGAAAAATCACGTCAACGAACTACATCCACTGGCAGTTTGGATGGAATGGTAATAACACGTGAAAATCAACTTGTAGCTCTATCCTCTGATGCTTATGAAGTTGTGAAGGCTGCAGCAGCCATATACAGTGCTAATACTAGCAATATGATATCATCAATCAATGCACAAGAAAAGGAACAATTGGAAATACAAACTACATATGAAGAAAATCAAATATCATCATCTGAATCAGCATCATTTGAACAATTAAGACCTAGTAGTAGTATGAATGCAAAAAGTAATAGTTTGAAATATTCTCTAGATAATAATCGTAAAAATTTACAAACATTAACTGAAGGATTTCCTATGTCATCATTTGATCATACAACAGAGAAATTTCAAACAAATTCACAGCCTGTAAGTGTCTTACTTTATAAATCTTGTTTTTATTATTATTTTTTTTGTATACTTATTTTCTATATTTAAAGCTTTACATTAAAAAAAATAATTAGTTATTACAATGAGTTTGGTTGATCAAAACTTATTGTCTGTATTGATGTATGCATAAAAGCAAAAGTTGTTATTTTACTAAGAAATTTCAAATGAAGTATGCACTCAGTTTTAAAGAAAAAAATTCGAAAATCATTCTTAGTGAATTTCATTCACAAACTTTAATGTTTATGTATTCTATATGTGTTTATTCGTAAGTTTCAATGTGTAGACTATTAGCTAATTAATTTTATTTGTTACAGTCAAAACAATAATACAAACTGAATATATAGGAAAAGCAGTAACTACTTAAGAAATGTATACGTGTGGTTTATAGTAACTCATTAGAAGTGGACATATGACTTCATGCTAAAAATAGAGTGTGTACTTTTCACTAGTCACTTTATTTCCACCAGATTTTATATTCTTCTCTGCATTTTTATCCATGTAAATAAATGGTTGTGAATGCATGAACTATAGTTTGGTTATTTTTCTAGACAATCAAACCTATGAAACGTTATGCCCTTATCCAATTTGCACAAAACGCCTAGAAGAAATATACCATATGACCATTGTGATTAGTGAACTTAAAACAGAGATCCTCACATTTATTATAGTTCTTATATACATCAGTTTACATAAATGAGATTTATGTATCAATATATGAAACGTTTCATCGGATTGGCTATTCAAAGTAGCTAATCTAAAGGTAACATCTGTTTAGCTTAACTATTTTCGATTCGTTATTGTGACTGATAATCTTGTACCACTGAGTAGGATTCCGGTTGTTCTTATTTTAAACTTTAGTCAGTTCATGATATCATGATCATCTATTGTCATAGATGATATTCGTCTCAATCTCGAAATGACTAAAGCCTACAGATTACGACCTACGCTCCAATGGTCTGTTATTATTATTATTATTATTATTATTATTATTATTATTATTATTATCACAAGACCTAGGTTCCATTCTGTGTTGAATTATTAGCGCTGTTTTCAGAGCAGTACTAGATTCAAACAAACTTGATGTTTAGTAATTTTCTTTGGTTTGTGTTGGGATGACTCACAGAAGCCTACAAAGGCTTTCAAGAGGCCGAAGGGTTTTTTTTCATGCAATCACGGCTTGACAGAATTTCGTAAGTGTCGATTTGGCTATAAGGTGATTAGGCAGCGCTAATTGCGAATTACACGATTTTAACGATGTTTTCACTCTGTACTATAAATACATATGTTTTTTGTGTACAATTTGACACTTTCTTCTGGGATCGATCCCCTCGCGTGAGTTGCACATTAAGACGACACGACCATCCAGTGCTTCCAAGTTTTCAATGGTGCTTTACCATAGATCGCTTCATGATTTCGATGAAATTCCACAATCTCCACAAGCTTATACAAATAAATAATGTTCAATGACTAAGTAAATTAGCCAGAACAAACAAACGGTTTTTTTCTATCAAACTCTATACAGTTAGTTCCCTTTATGAATTTTTTAATTAAGCATGAAAAACAATGAATACAGAGTAATACAGATTCATTTTCATTTGTTGGTCTCTTGTCAACCGTTTACAATCCTGCTTCTATTAAAATATAATAGAATAATCAGTTGTAAACTTTTAATGACCTAAAAAAAAATTGAAATGATAATGTATGCGTAAGGTCATTCATTGGAAATAAAATATCGAAAACAAAAAGGAGGGTGAGACAATTATTATTTAGGATTTGAAAGTTCACATGATGAATTACGCAGTGATAATCAGCGATACATACAGTTTATAAATGTTTGATAATTTAGTGAGTGAGAATCATAAATGAGTAAACTGGATGAGAAACAACTATTAATTAAGTGAATATTCTGAATCAAATTATAATCAATAATTACTTATAACTGGGGGCAATTTAATGAAAATGATGAATTTGTCATACCAGTGATAAATTAGTAAACATCTTATTTTGAACACAAATTCGGTTGAAGTTTTCTAACAGTTACTACTTCAGTGAAGCGCAAAAAGGTTTTGTTTAATTGTGCCTGTTAACTAATTTGGAGGCTGTTATGACCAGAATCAACTATATGGCCGACTACTGTATTTTTTTAAAGGTTATGTCTCCCCTTTTAGTCTTTGAAATATGCTCAGTAATGCAAACGTGTACTCTCCTCTGTGTTCTCCCAGTGTATGCATTTTGGTAAACTCATAAATACAGTTGAATGTATTAAAGAAGGACTTGTTGGTATTTTATTCCAGGGATTAGATCGTTTCATGTAAAGTGATGAAGTTTGCATTTATCCTATGCTTAATTCATCCACCAGTTGTATGCTGTTTGAAACCATGTTGTAGGAAACAATAAGCTTTCTTTCCAACTGTATCATATTTGATACAGCTGTTCGTTTTGACCTACTTATCGATCCATTTTTGTGAGTATGCGAAACCACCAAATAAAAATCAATTCATATTATTCTGCGTTAATCGCTTTTGTTTCGTTATTCGAAAAAATTAAGCATTGATACTATGCTATACTATTTGTTTTCAGATAAGTGTATGTATGTTAATCGACTAAACTCTCGTTTTTATTCTCCAATCAGCTAACAAATCTTTCAGTTGATTAATTCAATAATGTGGATCATATTTATATAACGACATTATCCTCATATTATTAATCTAGTTTGGAAACAAATCATTTGTATTGACTTTTAGACTCTATCTACTTATGTAAAAAGTTCTTATATGATACCTGAACATTTAATTGTCTTATCAGCGTGTATGGCTATCTTTCAGTAGCTAACTAAAATTTATGCAGTATGAGGATTTGTCATGAACCACAATGTGGTTCACTTAAGTAATCACACTCCTAACTCTTGATCAATGCAACTAGAGAGAGAGAGAGAGAGAGAGAGAAGACAAAGATTGTGTATGGACGAAAGTGAATCAATCATAATAATAATTGTAATACGACAGTTCATGTATACATCTAAGTGATAAGATTGACTTATACTTTCAGACAAGTAGACAGTAGAACCTAACTAGACGAACAATCTATTTACATTTATAAGATCCTCGAATAAATTGTCCCACTAAAAGTATATTACTATGATTATTATTATAATCAGTAAAATTATTTCCTTATTCATTTGAACAGTTTCATTCATATAAACTTTTTTGTTTCTCTTAAAAATTGACACAATAATATTTTTTGCTGTTGTTTTCTTTAATTTTTTTTTCTCTTTTCTACTTGATAGAAAACTATTTTGAAGAACAATTTATTTAAACTTTTTTTTAAATTTTATAAATATTTCAACATAATTATTTTAAACAATTGATTATATAATATATTAATTATATGATTTAAAAGTTTTTTAAGTAAAGAATAAAAAGAATTGAAATTCCACGAATTCAAAGTTTTCCTACATGTTATACTCCGACGAACTATTTTTGGATAAGATTACAATATTTGATTGATCTTTTCCTGTTTTTTGTTGTTGTTGTTGTTGTAGTCTCATTGTCATTGAAATGTTCATTATACACTTGATAAGATTATGTTAACAGAATAATTGTGTATACATTGTTATATATACAAATAATCATTTGAACTTTTGAACACAATAGACAACAGGATATGTTATAAGATGTAAATAATAGTTATCTATATTTCGACTGGTTTAAAAATATTTTTCAAAAATTTAAGTTTACAAGTTCCTTTCGTTTATTTTTTGTTTTTTCAATGATTACTACCACACTGTTTTGATCTCTTATGTTATTTTCATGTCATACTAGAATAATCAGTTATGATAACTTAGATTAGCTAGACTGTCCTGTTGACGATGTTTGTTTGAATCTGTTCAATTTTCTTGGTTCACTTCATTATGATTGTGATTAACTTTAATCATTAACTTTATTTTTTTTAAAATTACAAAATGTGAAAATCATTGCATTGAGACTGTTTTTTTTTTTTATGATTTTTGATTTGTATGTATTTTTTTTTCAGTTTACTTTAGTAGAATGTTTTTAACCAGTCACTTTTCGCATAAACTTTGCCGGTAATTTAAATCTGATTTCTTCTGTGAAATAAGCGTTTGTTAATTGAATAGAAATGTACCGTTTTATTTAATTTGGTGTTTGTTATTTGAAATATTTCTTGCAGTATCCTGATTTTATTGAATTTACTTCGAATGTAAAAAAAACATTTCCGTAATTTCTTGTTTACTTCTGTACGTGTTATTTTAGCCTTGTATTGCAGTACTTCCTCCGCCTGTCCAATTTAGTCGTGCTGCTGTACGACGTATAGCACGTGCAATTTTAAGAAAATTACACGGACAAAGTAAACTACCGTTTTCACCATCAATTACTTCCATATCAATTGGTTCAAGACAAGTTATACAACCATCTTTTCGATCTAGTGGAGAGAATCGTATTGATACATGTTCAACGTTTAGTACACCATATACAAATAGTTCACGAAATATTCAGTATGACAGAGTTAACCACGTGTATCGATATGAACTATTTCATGGATCAGTGGCTACAAATATATGGAGACGAAAAAGGAGTTTATTTGCTTCATCCTTGTATAATGAATTACCTTCAAACACTAGAGATTCGGTAGCTTCAACTGGTCCTATACGCCATATATCAACTGCAGTAAACCGTTCAATCTCTTCACAAGAATCCGTATGTATTATATAATCTGATAATGTTTGAGATTCTCATTAATTAAATTTCTAGGATTTTAGTTTGTTGTATTTTATAAAACAATGTTTAGTTGGAATGCTGACTTACTAGGCACTATTTGACTATTGTTTTAATGTCTGATAGAAATTGAGAACTAGTTGGCAGTATAATTTATTGAGATAATGTCGGTTTGGTAAAGTGGTTTGTCATTAGTTCGTATCAAAAATAGTTTTTATTAGCTTGTGTCTTGATATTCCCTAAGTTGTAGCTAGAATTAATGATTACTAAGGTTCATCACGTCTAGAGCAGGATAGTTATAATCAAGATATATTGATTGTCTGGCTTTATCATATGCAGACTGTAGTTAAAACTAAACATTGTTTGATTTCACTTCAGTGATTTAAAGTTTTTGTCCTTATTTTGCGATCTAGCTGTCATAAGTTTGATATCATGATGGATTTTAGTGCAGACTCTAGTGTTCCCTGAATCCACACTTTTCTGTATCTTAATTTCGTGTGGACTATGTTAGTTAAACTGTAAGGTCATGGTCGGTTGATCGGATTCCATCACCAGCACGAAGGATTATACACACATGAAATTGATCACTTATCTGACTTGTCTATTCTTAAACACATTTCAGTTTTATAGGAGTCCAGATGCGACATGGATATTTCATTGATAACGTCTGTAAACTATGGTGCTGGGTGACACGACATCCAATCCGTCAGAGAACACCAGTGCTGTCAAGATTACAGGTATACTTTACTGACGAGTGCTGAGTAACATGAAACCTTAGGTTCAGGGTCTCTTGTTGACTACCTACAACCACTACCTTGCAATATCATGCTAGTCAATAAAGGTTTACATTTCCGTTTGGTTTCACTTTAAACAAATATAATCTTTAATAGCCGGGAATTCGACTCCATTCTGTTCGAACAATGCTAATGAAACAAATCTTCCATCGAATTTTCGAATATTATTCGTAGGAATCCCCTGTTGTGTGATAATGGTACTGAGAAGACCAGTACGCTTTTATTTGGATGAATTTACTTAATATATTTGGGATGCGAAGTAATTAATGCACACTCACTCGAGCAGAAGCATCCCAGGCTATATTCGAATAATGAATAGGATTAAAACACGAGTGAACAGTCGCTTGAGAAGAATGAATTAATTATTTTGTCCAAACAGTAGGATAAGCCATATAGGCTTGACTGTGGTACACTGTGCAAATCATATAGGAAAGATGCTTGAATTATACTCATAAATAATTTGAATTCGTACGTGTAAAGACCCGTCTTAATCCCGTCCACCACCAGCAGCAAGAAAAAGGGTGACTGTAAGCGACCTTGTCTGACACCGTTCTAAATTCAGAATGAGTCTTTGAGCTAAGATTCATGCACGATTTTGCAGTATAATCCATCGTAGGAATTTCGCGCCATGTCTAATATCTTCTCAGATACACTCTAGTGTCGGAGAAGCCATCACAACGTCATCCTGTCCACAGTATCAAACACTATCAAATGAAGTTGATGTAGAGTGGTTATTGCTATTCAGTTGATTGTTTCAAAATCATCCATAGTGTCACAATTTGGTACACGATCGATCTTTACGAAATATAGTTTGCTGATCTCGAAGTTGAGCGGAATCTTTCATTCAGTTTAACAACACTTGGAAACTTTTGCTGATATTGATAGTGGAGTGATGCCTCCGTAGTTTTCAAGCTTTCTGAGAATTCGTTTCTTTGGTATCTTGACGAGGTATCCTTCTTTTCATTCTGTTGGTATTTGTTCTACCTTCCAAATCTTCTGCAGAGAGCGTGGAACTTCTTTATAGTTACTGATATGTCTGCTTTCTGTGCCTCAGCTGGAATGCTGTCTGGTCCTTTTGGTTTGCCACTCTTGATTTCTCTGATGGCCATGCTGATTTGCTCAGTTGTTGGTGGGTTGGCATCATCTATGAAAATCAAATCTCGCCCAGTCACTGATTTCCTATTTTCATGTCCACTATCATTCTTTATCCAATACACTATGAAACCCTACTTAAACCTAAGATAAACACTGGGCAGTACATTTCACACCTTATAATCATTTCAATAACAGTTTGAAACATTCGTTGTTATTAAGAAGAATAAATCAGTAATTCGATTTGACACTGTTGTACTGTGTTAATAACGATTAAGATATCGAAATTTGAAGTTGGCCTACTCTAAATTTTATTTACAGACGATTGAGAATTTTTCGAATATGACTTAACAAATAGGAACTGGATGAGACCGGATGTCGGTCACACAACAGAATTTCTTTTGTAATAATTCAAACACACAGATCAGATGAGATTCGCGGCATAATATAACACTCCGTACACAACTTAGGAAATTAAAAAAAAACAATTGAGCTTCTGTGGTCATAATGACATTGGGGCACAATTTGACAGCCGATCAGGTGACAACAGCTGTTAAAACAGAAATAGAAATTAAGATTACGTCATAAAGGTTTATCCTTAGAAGAAATCACTGATATTTAACAACAATAAAAAACGTGGATAATGTGATTTATTTTCTTAGCAGACACTAAAATTAAAGCAAGTACATTTTAACAAAAAAATACAAAGAGTTCATATTTGGATAAAATCATTCCTTTGATAAAAGAATGAATATGAAATCTATAAATGTATAGAAAGAAATATTATATAAACACTACTTATTTTCTTTTCGTTATATTTATACTTAATCTATATTTATGTATATACATATGTATTATTCTCTATTTATTTTTTCAAGCATATACAATTAAAATTACCAACACCTGATTCACCTTCTGCATTAACATCATTAATTAGTTTAGATTCATATACAGGGCATATTATATCACATGAATTAAATAGTCTTTTGTTAGATCAATCTACTAAACTAGCTATATTGAATGATATACGTCGTGAGTTAAGTCGTCCAAAATATCGTCCAGATTTTTTCTACGCTGGTAATAAACGTAAATTACCCTTGTATCATGTGCCTGAATATACAACTTGTAAACAATTACCATGTGATGTAAGTTTCGATTTCTTTTTCGATTTATAAATAATAAATATTATCTTATTTTAATAAAAATGTACTCTCATCTTTCCTCTTTTTTTTTAAAAAAAAAATTCTATGTAATTTCTTTAACATTATTGTTTTTATTACATTTTATGGATATAATTCACTTTTTTCTAAGTAGAGTAAATTAAAGTTCTGTCATAACTCAAACTTTTATAACTTATATCTATGGTCATGTTAGGCAGAGGAGTTGTAGAAACTTCTGTTCCATCACTCTATAGGTTAACACAAGAGTGATGATTCATGATGGAAATTTGATTCACCTAACTTTCTCAAAATGTTGTTAAATTTCTTTCTTTATTGCATTTGTACTTAGTTTTAATATTCGTCTCTTTATTATCTACGTAACTATAATTGGTTTTCCTTCGCAATCGGAAATCAAATCACTTAATGTTTTTCCTTTGGCACATTGGTTACTAGTATGATATATTTGTTTGATGTAGTTTCAATTAAGTAGTATCGTACGGCTATAAATCATCAAAGATGAAACTCTTTAAGAGATAACGTTTTTCCATTATATCTGTTCATGCGCATTGACTGAATATATCTTAAGATTATAGTTTTTTGTCAATAAATGATGCTGCTTAAGAAAAGTGCGAGAATTTGTTCTGGTTGTCTTCCTCTAATGGTGCTAAATATAATACATTTTCATTTAATTCAGAGTCATTTATATCAATAATCATCTTGCATCTCTTATCGAGCAGATGAGAGCAAGGATCACACTGATTACTTATCGGGTAATCAGTTTGTGCGTAGATTATGGCTGTCCATATTGGTTCAGCTTTGATAACAGCGATTTCGTAATAGTATCTCGCCGAAATTCCTGCTTAATACAGCGCCTAAATAAACTGAGTTTTGGATATGACCATTAAACGCCCCATCAATACAACAGTTGACTTTTTTGGACTCCATATTATGTACATATGCGTATTTATTATAATCAAAACAAAAAAAATTTACGTATGTATATTTGGTCTTTGTTTCATGTTGTGACCTCTATGAATGACAATTTTCGGCCAATGAAAATTAAGCTTTATGCAGAATAATTCATATGACTTTTATGTATTTTTTCACAACACCCACACACATACAAACTTATCGTAATCAACAGTATTCTGTTGAAATGTTATTGATAATATATGAATTTGTTATCTTCATACTCGTGTTGTTTTTTTTTTAACTATAGACAACAATTAGTTAGTCGAGATTGTTTTGCTTCGAGAAGTCTATGGCTTACAGATAATGCTTATTAGAATACTTCACAAACAATCTTTTTTTTTATCATCTAGAAAGTTAACTTGTATTGTTCTCTTCTACATGAACAGAAAAAAAAACCTTTGTAGTTATTGTCAAATCTCTCTCATTTTGAATCATAACAATTGTTGCCATTATTAGAGCATCTCTTACAGTTTCAAGTCTAAGTTGCTTATAGTCAACTAACTTTAGGGGTTAAATATACTTTTTCAAAGTAATATATACATCACTTTTAATTAAGAAGTTTGCATGTTAAATAAAGAATATATCATTCAATTTGACTCAACAGTTTAATTACAGTCATCATATGTTACATCCCTGTTTACTTACAAAACTGTATAGATGAGAAGTGGTTTTCTATTTTATTTTTTTCTAATTTCACTTGAGACAAATCGATTTTATTTTGCCTGACTTTTAATTGAACAAACAAACAGAATTTTGGATATAGTATGATTGATGTGATTGTGTCTATACTATAACATGAATTAGATGTGGCTTAACTGTACCAATCTCCTACATATAGATCAACCAATGGAATGAGAAATAATCGTCATGGCGAATTCCTAACCCTTTGTGTTCATGTATCTAAATATTCTTCATTACATTTCAGTCTTTATCATGTCTTTTAAAAAAAATCTCCATTGTGAGTTAGTCTCCACTATCAAACAAAAAATCTCAATGATTAATTGCCAAACATTAAATATTAATTGCAAGACATGATATTGAGTTATTGAATTTAATTATGATTAGGTACAGTTACGTGAATATGCTTATGATTTAGTAATGCGATATTACTTATTATGTATTGTTACTTGATATGGTGTAGTATGCTCGAATACTTGTTCGCACTTTTTGTTATCAAGTCTAATATATATATAGAGAGATTTTCTAACAATAAAATTAATAGTCTAGTGTTTAAATATTTTCGCAAATCGAAATCATCAATTAATCATTGATGGCTAACATTAGAAACCTGCAAGTTTCGCCCTGGTGTGGGACTCATCAGCAGTGCGCGTCCACTCAGGATTCAAACCCAGAACCTTCGGTCTTGTGCACCAATGCCTAACCTTTGCACCACTAGGCTGGCTGGTATACAATAGTGTTAATGTCTAACTCTGATCAATCAATCTATTATTTCATTTATTCTTATTTAATTCCTTATTCCGCTTTTTATTTTTGTTGATACAGGCAAATTATGGCTTAAAAGAATTGACAATCCACTCGCCTAATTCAAATGTTGTCAATCAATGTCCAAATCTATTGAAAACTGTTATTCCTATAGAAAATGTTATATTACTTCGAAATAAATCACTTATACCTGATAATCAAAAAATTGATGTACTTCTGAATACATCAAAAGAGAATAAAAATATTTCTCAGTTGAGAAAATTTATCGCTTTGCCAAAAATTGATGAATTATTTTCTTATCTTGCAGATATGTTAGATAGTCAAATACTTAAAAGTTTTACATTTATTATACTTTCAATCGCTTGCTTTGTAAATATGTTGGGTAAGACTTTTTAATTTTTCAATCTTTTCTCAATAAATAATCACGAAGTTTATTTATTATTGATTAGTAGTATATAATAGAAAATGCTAAATAAATTTGGGTTTTTGTACTTGCTAGTTTTGATTATCAAGAACTTTCTTGTTCTGTAAGTTTCTATTCCTTCTAAAGAACTAATGTATGATATACTAAGGTAATTCATGGGATTCATCAATCTTTTTTTCTGTCTATTTAATCAGTAAAGTAATTTAAGGAAATTGTAATGTGTTCTGGAACGGTATATTCTAATAATGTCATGACTATTTAAGAATAAATTAATATTCGTGCTAGGTAATCTAGGGATCATGTAGTTGTATTAAACGAATAACTTCCGGATTATATTTAACAGGTATTTAATTATTTTTAGCTGAACAGTGCTAAGCATTAATCAAACTTTCGATCTAGAAATATTTATCAGTGTAATGTTTTAAAAAATATTTTATCACGAGAATATTTGTTAATAATAATGGAAAACTGTGCAACTGATTTTGTTTTCTTCTTGCAAGAAATAATACTCATTAACCTTTAACATGAACAGGATTGAAAGAAGTTAAATGCTTGCGAACAATCTTCATAGGTTATATACCTTGGGGTATAATGTTTAATTAACACTGTTTTTCTGTATCGTCCGATTTATACCACGATTGAATCACAAAGAAAAAAGGTGTCAAACGTAAAGTTTCCTGAGAAGATCTAGCATTTTCCTTAAATGTGAATTACATTTCTCTGAGATAAGTGAAAGTCGTCAATACACCCAATTCTTGAATTCTCTCCTGTGATCTGTTGGTTCTTAATAGTACTACGACTAAGTAAATGAATGCAGATTAAGGTTATATGTCTTTAGTTTACCATTTTTATACATAAAAATCCGATTAGTATAAATTAGTTCTAATATTTCAATGATTGGCTAAACACATTGAGTACTTCAATCAATCAATCAATCAATCAATGAATCATTGATCTGATCATATGCTAACAAATACTGTGTAGCTGCTGTAAATCATTGTGTTTTTATTTCATTTTATTTAATTAGTAACAACAATAAGTGTTTAACTAACCTATGCACACAACTACATTTCATGTATTTTAATTCCAAAATTTTTTCTTTGCCTTATACCAGTTTCCCTTCTTTTTTTTCTCTCTCATTTTTTACCCCTTGTTTTCAGTATTTTTAGTTCCATTTCACTATCTTCCACTTTTATTGGATTTCGGTGGTATTGAATGTTATTTTAATTCATTATGGTGTCCGAATGAATTACCCGCTGAGATTAAGCATAATCTCACATATAATCAATTTGATCAATCAACTATTAAATATATTAATGTTTTAAAGAAAAATTATGCATTTTCTAGTCCAGAATCTTTATTTTTAACAATTGGTTTTGCCAGTATTTTTGGTCGTTTATTTGCAGGTGAATAATAATATTAGTCTTTTTTTTTAGTTTGATTACAAATGTAATTGGTTGTGTTTAAAACACATTGATAAAAGTTAATTCTAAAGTTCAACACAAATAACATAATTTACAATTCCCATTATGAGCCTTATATTACCCTAGAAGCTCCTTATGCTTTAATAGGTTAGAAGCTAACGAAATTGTAACTCCTTTACTAAACTTACATAGTTTATACTACCGGAGATGCAGACAAGATACCCATCAGTCTATCAGTCTATTCTAAGCATATTACTTATTTTATAGCTATGAGAGAACAAAACAAAACTGATTTAATATGATTAAGGCGGGTTTAATTTATGCTACAATTGTTATCATTTATTTATTAGACAGCAATAAAAACAATGCAGGAATAAGCTACAGTTTTGTTTATTGATCAATTTTATATGGCTATATTTCTGACCGTAAATCTAATTGTATTAAATTGGTTGTATGTTTCTATCATTTGTCGGTCTTCCTTCATTACTGAATAATTGGATTTATTTATTTGTAAAAAAAAAGTAATATATTCGCAGTTAATAGTGACAATTCTCTAAATAAGTTTCAACAGTTAGATTATTTGCATTACGGGGTTGTGAAGATTGTTAAGTTACGCATTTTTGAAACCATGCATCGATCAATGTTAGACCACCATTAGAAACCTGGAAGCACTGGACGGCCGTTTCGTCCTGGTATGGGAATCCTCAGCAGTGCGCATCCACGACTCCTGCACCCCCCAGGATTCAAACCCGGGACCTTCGGTATTGTGCGCGAACGCCTAACCATCGGACCCCTGAGCCGGTATCTAATGGTGTGGGCGTTCGCCTACAATACCGAAGGTCCAGGGTCCGAATCCTGCTGGGTGCAGCAGTCGTGGATGCGCACTGCTGAGGAGTTAGATTATTGCAAAGAAATTTTTCGATAATTTTACATGAATAACTAAATATGGGGATAACAGCTGTATAATTTTAACATTTCAGAAGAAAATTCTAAAAGAAATACTTGTTTGTCGCCATGTATTTTAAAAATGGTAGGCCTTAAGTATGTAAAGGGTGATATAGAAATGAATGTTATTCTATAGTTGTATGATAAATTTATTGAGCGGGCTCATGAGAAATAACGTTATTTTATTCTTTAATAGAAAACAATCACTAAAGTTAATATAAAGTATTCTGGATACTGGCTTTAGCTAAGGGACCAATTGTGGCTGTAACTGTATTCGTTGAGTTTCAGGTTCGAGCCCTTGTTTACCAACTAACAGTTTTCTTTTCTAATAGGGTTTAATATATTTCAACCATACTGTCCACTCGAATGCTTGTTAGTATGTGCTTTATCATATTAATATTTCAGTGTATTAGTCATTGAATTGATTTGTTTTTTGTTCTTTTCATTTATATTGTATTTTTCTTTCTTTCTGTATCAAGGATTTTATATTGAAAAAGGTTTAAATACAAATCGTAAATTCCTACGTCAATGTCCTCGCATGGTAGATCCAATGCTGTTGAACAATGTCGCATTAATTGTTTGTGGTTTTTCAATTATCTCATTTCCATTAGCAATTCATGGTATTATGTTGACAAAAAATTCAGATCAATCATCAACACAACGCTTGCAAGCATGGTCATTAAAGTTTCGAAGTCATTTATTATATATTGGTAGTATAGTATATGGTTTAACTAATAGTAAGTTAATATTATATAAATATTTGTATATCATTTTTATCAATCTATCTTATCATAAAGGAATGATAAGTGCAAATAAATATGGGCAATTCGGACCATTAACTTATTTGTACAAATTTATTTTCCTACCTATCACATTCATAAATTATTTAAAATTGAACTTTTCGTTTATTATGGTTTACTGGACAATAGGATAATATTTTAACAGTTGATCATTGTTCCTAGTTACCAGTCTTCTTCTTCTTACTGGACTATCCAATATGTCATAAATGAATTTGTCATGTAATGTTGAATCCGTACATGTTTGTTATGCTAAACATCTTAATATTAGTGAACTTTCTTTCTATTCCGATGCTAAAATTTCAAATATCTCACCCGTTGGTAATCAAGAGTATATGTCGGTTTTTTAATAACTGAGATTTTGATAAATGCTTTGCATTATTGCCATCAATGGTCGATAATTCATTCCATATAAAATTAACCATCGTTGGTTAGTTGGTTGGTTGGTTGTTTGTTTGTTGGGAGCCTTCAAGAATATCTCGATAAAAGTTTTCAAAAGTTTTTTAATGTCATTGCTAAATTTATCATATTTCGAATTAAATAATCAAAATATTTGACTTTTTACTATCTCCTATAAAATTATTAGTATTATTATGATTACCACTATATCCTGTTTTAGGTATAGAAATAAGTGTAGTTTGATGATGATTGAATTTCATTGGGTTGACAAATCTACCCCAAGTTAGAGAATCACTGAAAACCTGAAAGCACAAGATGAGGACAAAACAGCTACTGTCCAGTACAACTAAATTCTCAGTAGTTATCCAACTTCAGCGCACGATCTGAATAAGTTAATAAACTAGTTATTTTCTGGACTAGTTGATCAAATTACCAGTTTTGTTTTTCTTTATCGTGTAGTTATTTACAGTCAATAATTACAACATTGTTCTCAACTGTGACAATAGATTAGATTGAATAAGAATTACATCTTGTGCTGTGAACAATGTCTCTTTGACTTATTCGTCATTTTCTATATATTTGTGTCAGTTCAGATACTTTTTTTATTATTATAAAACAGGAAATGTAGATTGCATTGTCAACACACCAATCAATAATTTGGTGTTGTATCAACCAAAGTATTATTGCACTAATGATAAACTTATGACAAATGAGATTTACTAGTTCATTTAATTTTGTTTTATTCGGTAATTACTAATAATTCAAATATCTTCATGAGTAAATTTATTTATAATTTGATGAACACTTCTGAGAATCATGTTTTTTTTAATAGTCATCTCTATCCAGCTTTGTGATGCTTACTTTGTGTCATTTATGATATTTAATTTACGTTTTTTCTATTTTATGGTGGTTACATCATTTCATTTATAGCTATATCAATATCTTTACGAAGTGTTATACTTGTTGAATTATTTGGTATTCGTCGACTTACAAATGCATTTGGATATTTACTTATTTTTCAAGGTCTTGGTGTAATTTGTGGACCTCCATTATTTGGTAAATATTCTTAATTTTTTTTATGTTATCTGTATGTAAAAGGATAATTCAGTGTATTTCATTATTTATTCTCATGGAATAATTTTAAGGTATATATATATATATATTGTCGTTGTATTTGCAACACAATGATCTAAAGAATAAAGACACACCTCGGGCTACAAAAGTTACGAGTTCAACATCTGACGAGAGTCATAGATTTGCATTCGTGAATCTTGTATTTGAATGAGATCAGATGGCCCAGTGTTTCTTGATTTTTTCAACAATTATCCTAGTAATAACAATTCAACAGATAAACTATAAATATAGTTGGTACATGATTAATTGTTATGAACCTATCAATGCTGTCTGTTACTTATTTAATTATTATAATGTTTAGCATTATAACATTTATTCCCAGTAACCTATAATCTTTTTGAATGGATTGTCCATAAAAGATTATCTATTTATGTATTAGTTCATAAGTAATTCTTTATGATAGGAAAATTACTTAGATTATTATTATTATTATTATTATTATTATTATTATTATTATTATTTCCACGATTTTGTAACTGTTCGCTAAACAATTCATCACTTAAAGTTTGAGATCATTTAATTTATCTACAGAATATTGAATGTTTAAAGGAGATTGATCTTTCAACTGGTAGGTTGATAGAACGTTTCATTAACCACGATCGCAGCATCACTAGCCACTAACACATAATTCAAAGTTAACTGCTTAAATCATTTACTCTTGCTAAATAACTCACATTTTTATGTTGTAACTTAAATTACTTTCATTCGATCATTCAAAATGGTTTTTGCTGTGACCATCATACATGAACTATTATTTAATTCAATGACATATGGTGATTTAACATACGCTAACCAATCAGCATATATATTTTTTTCATAACTGGACATTATGACCTTATATGAATGTGTCTACAAGTTGATAATGTGAATCATTAAAACAAACAGTGTAATCACTGTATAAATTATAACATATAAATATATGTTATTTACAAATGAACTATCTAATAATAAACATTTACTTAATTAATTATACTTTCATGATGTTTATTCAATAAAAATAAAAAAAAAATTGTATCAACAAGTTTATTGTGTCTGTTAAACTTTGTCTAGATAATATTCATTAATTATTTTCAAAAACATTTGTATTTTTAATTAGTTTTCTGATTAAACTGTTATCATAACAAACTAAATATTACAAAAGTTGGATTTATTTTTTAAATTATTATTATTTTTATGGTTGTATTTTTATATCCCACTTGTTGTAAGATGTCAGTAGACCTACCAATTGTCGTTATCTGTTTTACTCTAGTTATTAATCGTATACTGTTTGTTTTGCTCTGTGCTATTCATGGTATGATTGTGTTTAAGGTATGATTTCTTATTCGGTTTACTCTATAGTCAGTCATTTGAAGTGTACCATTGAATGCCTATCATGATTAAGTTGAGTAAGATAGAGAATGAACCTGTTATCTGATTGGCTACCAGTTCCGAAGGAAGTTTAATGGCCAATAAGAGTTAAGGTCTTGTGTGTTTGTCATTGATTGCTGTGTCATTGTGATTACTGTAAAGGTCATTGGTCCTAATGACAATTTACATGAACTAATTGATAATACAAATTCTGACTAGACAATGTAACACACGATATCGATTACTGATTATTTCAAGCCATACAAATTGTCTCGTTTGTTTTTGAATTTCCCTTACTTCGACTAGGCATCATTTTTTTGAAGTGCTAAACTTGTTTTTTCATTAATTTATTCACTAGACTCACCCAAAGGTGATGCAGACGCTTTGTTTATGCCCATTTTCTTTGCTGTGTTGCATTGTGTTTGTCTCAGATGTAATTTAGAAACTAACATACTATTTTTTTATTTTACATAGTGTGTTTTCGTGTTTTGAATAAAAAAAGTGCATCTCTACGATTTGATGTAACGATATTTTGTCTATTTAGGCGATATTTCTGTTGATCGTATTCACGATAATAAGATTTTATTCTGTTTTTCTAACACTTAGTCAATAATCAAGCATTGATATTACAAATTATCTATTTGAGAATAAAATAAACACAGTTATTTTATGAGGGTATTTTTAAATAGATCAGTGTTCTGTTCACAATCATGAATAGACATATACAACAGGACCCAAATTGGAGGCAATACAGATAGATAGTCATAAAATTTCTTCTTTTGACATGCAATTATATGTTTAACCGTTATCTTTCTTAATTAATTTTAAATTGAATTGCATCTATCATCATTTCAACTTCAATGATTCTAGATTATTATAAGTAGCAGTTATGTCGTTTATGCTAATTGCGCTCGCTTGTTTTTTCTCCTCTGTTTTGCATTTTTTTTTTATCAAGGTCTTTTTTCTGATCAAGCTTGTCATAGATGTTTAGACAATCCACCATTTTGTGAATCTATTCCAACTGAATTTACATCAACTGGTCATAAAGAATGTACAATGCGTTTAGTATTATCGTTTTATATTTGTGCAGGATTATTCATTTTGTCAAGTGTTTTATTTATGCCACTTCGTTGGTTAGCCAAACATGATCCATATCGTAATGCATATACAATACAATCATCAATCATTATATCAGGTAATACACCTCAATTGGATGAAGAAATTTCATTTTCAGTTGGTGGTTTAGGTCAAGGTGAAGTGTATGATCCACAAGAGACACAAACAACGCATGTATTGGTAAGATTTATATTGTTTAATTGTTAAAGTGTTTTCTATTCTATTTTCATGATTTGAATACATTGTTTGTTTCGTTGACTTCCTTTGAGTTGTTGCTATACTCGTCGTTGTTTAAAATTCATTTTAAATGAAGTTTACTTCAGCTTGTTATCTTTCCGCCAAATGCCGTTAGTTTTCTATAAATATATTAGATTTAAATGATTATATTCACTCTAGTCACATGAAATTAAGTATGAAATAAAACTTCTAGTCAATTTTTTTTTACTCACCATACTTTTATTGCTTATCAGCTGATTGATTATAAGCCGCTTAATTTATGTGCAAAACATTAAACAGTTAATAAGACTCCAGAACGTAGTTGTATATATATATATATATATATATATATATATATATATATATATATATATATAGTTTATGGCCTATTTTGAAATCGTCAGTGTCAAATTTAACTGGACTGAATAACACGGATAATAAGCAGCACTTCATGTTTCCAGTTTATCTCCTTTTTTCAAGTTTTGGTAATTTTATTTTACGAATTTTTTCACTCATCTCTTGTGTTGCTGCATGAGAAAAAAATTTTGAACGAAAAAAATGAATGTCCTTCCATTTCCCTGGGAAAAAAACGTTTCTTTTCATTTGTTCGTTATTTATTCTTATGCATATTATTTTTTAATGGCTTGACAACTTTAAACCATTAGGTTGAAAAAAATGAAATGTGATTTGTAACACACATGACTAATTTTTTTTTTGACTTGTTTTATTGGCATATTTGTCAGATCCAGTGCTATTTTGAACACACATATTTTTTTGGGGGGCCTGATTAGCATAAAAATGTGATTTAACCTCTCTCTATATATAGATGTATGTATGCGAGAAAGTCACATTTTTCGTTTTGTAGTTGCTCAATTTACAACCAAAATAACATTGAGAGATATTTTTGTCCGTTTTGATCGATTCCTAATGTGAACACGAACACAACAAAGTTTCAAAACTCTAAAGGTTTAAGTCATGAGAAAAGCATAAGTCGAATATTTTTGTGTACAACTTAAAACCATCTTAAATTATATCAGAATTTCGCATTTCACAATATTTCATTGTTGTTATTTATCTTTCAATATGATTTTTGTAGACATAAATAACCTTGATACATTTTGGAGCGAGACAAAACATTTCAATAATCATGTTTTGTTTCAATTACAATTAATTGCGTGTTCATTATCTCTCATAAATATTGTCATTTAATAGAGTGAATTTTTGATTGTGTTGTATGGTTGTGTATGTGTGTACTCGTTTGCGTGTGTGTGTGTGTAGAACACATTTGGCTAACATCATTTCTATGAAAGTTCCAAACTAAATCATGAAATGTATTGACTGAATTGAGAAATATGAAACTAATAATTACAGTAATAATAATATAAAATGAACATGAGACATCCAAACAGTAAATCAAATGCTAATAACGGGTAATTAAGCTGTTGTGTATGAAAACATAATAACTTCGATCTTAAACTACCAAAATCATAGAGCTTTTAAGCCACTGAGTAGTATCTTTTTTTTTCTTTCCAACTTGTCAAGATACAACGACCTTGAGTAGTTTATTACAACTGTGATGATTAGTTCACCAAAAAAAAACAGTGTTGTTTTTGTCAAACCAATCATTTTTGTCTTTTTTTTAATGTTTCAATTATATGTATTCCATGGACTATTAGTTAGACAAGTTTACGGATAATTTGTGCGGTTCATTTCATCTGGAATATGTAGTAAAGAACTGTTTTTAGTGAAAATAAATAATACTTTATGCATTACACGTATAGTAGTTGTTGAGTTATCCATAGCCTATGAATCTTCCAGCTTCTAATGCTCAATGTAGCGCTAGTTATTCTTCTACAGTCTTTTTATACATGAAAACACTGTGTTTAAATTAGTCTAAATTTGAAATATATTTTGTTTTGAATTTTTTTAAGAAAACGTTTTTTTCATTATAAATTAAACAATGCACATAAGCTCAATGGTTAGGATGGATTAGAATTTTATTTAATGACTAGATCTTTAATGTATTCATAAATTTTAACTGATATCTAAAACTTACAACTATTTTGTTTAGTGTTTTTGTTTTTCATGTAAACAAAATTGAAATGTTTGAAACTATTACGAGTTCATCTTACTCGATAAACGGAGCTCAGATAAATGATTCAGTGACATGATAGGCTAGTCTAATCCGATTGTCCCAGGCTCTCTTCTATAACAAAATCAAAAAGTCTGCATAAGGCATATAGAATGTATTCTTCAGGCACCCAGAAAGATTGAAATTGTTAAGCACACAAATCAGGCTTATTTATACCATGATAGCAACGCCCTTAGTGAGAGTCACAAAATAGCTTACTAAAATAACCCATCAACCAATGACAGTCAAGGATTTCACGACTGGGAAATGTGAGCTGAAGGTCAACTAAGTGTCTTTGGCGCGAAAACATATAACATTCAAAATTTCGGAAATAAATTACAAAATAAAGACCTTTTCCAAGTGATTTCTGGGGATCTAACGTCCCCGACAGAAACTCTTTTGAAGATTGATCATCAATTACACACACAAAATTTGGAAGCAAAATTCAACCTACACACACACACACAACACTGCTGAAATGATCTATTCGAACATACCGAATTGTATTACGTTCGTAGTAGAATAGTAAATTATATACTTTAGAAACTTTTTTTCTCTTTTTAAAATCAATATTCTTCGTATTGTTTTATGATTATTTATGCCAGTATTGTGTGAAAATTTTTTCTTTTTATACTTTTTTGCTTTTACCTCGTCTAGTATGATGAAAATGAATCGAATGTGAAAACTAACTGACGAATCAATGGATACATGTAACTACTGTTTTTAGGTATTCTTCCACTTTGATTTCTCTCCAATGTTGTTTTATTTTTCACCTTCCCTCTTTACTTCATTATCATGATTACATTAAATTTATTATCTATAATATAACTAACTGGTTTTTTGTCTATTCAAAATAATGGTAATAGTAATCATACAAATCACACTAATAACAAACGATTATTCACATTTCTATTATTATTATTATTATTATTATTATTATTATTATTATTGATTAATTTGTATTTATTTTTTCAATGGAATTTTCCTCTCTTCCATCACTAGTTATTGCATTATTTAATTCTCATAAATATAACACACAATTTCTTATGAATTATTTTCATCTTTTCTTTTTAAATTTTTTTCTTCGTTCAATTCACGCCATCTTATTTATCGCATATATATATATATATTTATTTTATCGATTATTGTGTTTTTTTTAAAAAAATTATCATTAGTATCATTAGTTTACAGTTGATTGTGTTCCGATTCAATGTCATTTTGCCTAAGTAAGTAATTATTTGTCAAGTGTTTTCATACACATACCCAGTAAACTGCATTCTGTGAAGTGTTGATAATTGATCATGTACGTATGTATGTATGTGTGTTTGCGCTGTATCATTGTTGTTATCGGTTACTCCATATGCTGCTATAAATCAACAAATTCCGTATGCATATATACATACAATAAAATGAAATAATCATTATTTTCTTATGGCATAAAGAAAATTTTCTTTTCTTTTATTAAAAACAAATCATCATGAATTGATTTCTTTCCTATATATTTTGTTGCATTCAATTAATATTATCTATATTTCAATAGGTTGGCATTTAATTTGTGTAATTATTCACTCATATATAATATATATATATATATATATATATATATATATATATATATATATATATATATATATATATATATATATATACATGTATATTAAATGCAATTCAAAATATATATACATATATTCTTGTGCTTCTAATATATATATATATATTTTTTTTATTTAAACGATAAAACTACAAAGTTCACCGAAGTTTTTCGTCAAGTTTTACAATCGTTAATACCATTAACTGAAACTACATATGTGATTATACTAATTCTAACAATATAGATATATATGTCTGTCGACTAATAGCCTAAATGAACTGTTGTTACGTTGTATTCTTAATGTCCAGTTTAGTTTCGTCAATGAATTGTACAGACAAACTAATTGGATCACAATGGGGTCTCCATTAGGTCCAATCTTAAAAGACTGCTGAAAAACTATCAACTTATAATTCGGTCACCAACCGATCTAATCTTAACAAGAGATAATTGAATAACACCTTTGTCATTTGTGATAAGAATGTTGAATTAGTTGATATTTTGTATACTTTCCAATAGATTCCATGGCTCTCTAGATTTCACGTTAAAAAATGAAGTAGGTCAATCTGTCTCATTTTCTTGATTCGATTATGATAAGGAGAAGTGATGGATGATCCTTAAAACAGTCCAGAAAAATGAATGAAATAGCCAGCTGAATAACTTTTGTAACTGTGTTCCACTCAGCAGAAAGAGGAATATTATTCATTCCATAATACTGAATACACAAGATTTGTAGGACGGAATGCATTGATGAAGAACTTGTATTTCTTAGAAAAACTTCATAGAGAAAAACATGAAAGCGAAAGTCGGAGAAAGGAATACGGAAATTCTTTTGCAAAGAAATATCCTAATATAAACTTAAAGGGGGGCGACATTCTCATGTACTTTCAAATCATTTAATAACAGCGATAAAAAAGATTGGTCTATGTAGCACAGTTACGATTCAGGTTCACTAATAGAAACCTTTTTACTGCATCTGTTAAGTGAAATCTTCATCTCGTCATCATGTCCATCTCTAAGTTCGCCTGTTCTTGTTGTGTAAAGCATATAGGTCGTAGTCATGAAATGATTCATGATACGAGGACATATCTCATTGTGGTTCTGCAAGGATGAGAGGAAGATAGAAAGTGAACATTTAGTCGACTCCAACCACTTCACAGATTAATTTTAAGTATGCTTATATAATCCATCCAAATCGACCTAGATATCTTCGTCTCCAACTCCTTAAAACAACAGAATTTCTGGCCTTTCATGGAATCAAACTAGAACTGTGTGTACGAAAGAAGTACGCCTTATTATTATCATATTTACCATGACCTTTATCTTATTTCGTATTTGAAAATATTATTTTCTATATCCTCATGATTTTGTTATCAACTTATTTCTTTCAAACTCTTCTATTACCGGTAACATAAAACATTTTAATTATCTTACTCTATTTACATTATAATTTGTTGTTCACTCATTATTAGTTTTACAAGATTTTTTATTTGCACACAAACAACCCCTTTATTGTCATTACTTATACAATATACAATCTTCAAAAAGTTGTAGCTTTTCGAAAAATTAAATGATTGACGTAAACCTGCAGTCTAACTGATATCGAAAAGCCGTAGAGCTGCTCAATAGAATAGATTTTTCTTCTAGCACAAGACTGAATACAAATAGGGACTATAATCTGTTGTCAATGTTTACATTTCTATTAATGGAATTGAACTTTGTTCCTCATAGAATAGTGAGTGGGTCGATTTCCTCTTCTAGTCAATGGAATCCGAAATTCCTTTACAGTCCATACTACTTTATATCTGTACACATTCATCTTTGTAGCCAATTATCTGGTGTTATTTTCGGCAACTCATTGAAAAAACGAAATGTTGATTTCCATTCCGATTCTAGTGTTGATTACCCACATCGATTTTACCTATATAGGATGTTCTTCATTAAAGTATTTAGGTCAAAAATTATAAAAGTATCATAGAGAACATCTGCTTCAAAAGAAAACTTTTGATCATTGATCGAAATTATATATTTTCTAGATTAGCTGCGGGACGGCTGTTTAGAATTGTATTCAATAATGACCTCTTCTCTGTTGATTTGTCTATAAAACATTATTAATTTAAACCACTCAATTAATTTCATGCTAGAGGTAATTCTCTCAGTTAATATCTCAAAGCACGGAAATCAAACTTATGGTCTTCAACGTAGTTATTTAAGAAGCAGATTTTTTCAGCAAAAAACATTTGTAACGAGAGATGCAACAACCAACAGTACGATTCTCTCTCTGGTTACAGTGAAATCAATTATCGCGTTAACGAAAATAACTAAATCAACAGTGTTATATCTACTAAACTTCTGACTGATTGTAGAATTTCAGTCAACTATTGAATCTTAGAAAGGTATGACGATTTAATCATTAAGGGGTGTTGAAGGAAGACCTTATAGTGTAGCTCAATGCCATCACATAATAGTAGGTGGATGGATTTGAAATTTACAATTTCCTTGATTGTTTCATATTGTAAACAGCAATAACCTTTAAGATATATAGCTACTGAATCAAAAGGTCGTTATAAAGAAATTTAGGTAGTCGATCACTTATTTTCCTCTCTATTATCATTAATCTTACCTCGTGTACTTCATTCCCAATTAGCTAAAGTTTGTTAACTCTTTGATTTCCAATCACTAGTTCGATATTTTGGGACTTCTCTCACACTTTAACCACCTGTTAGATATCTAAATGACCTTATTAACTTTATTGAAACTTTGCAACATCAACATACGCATATTTATCTTTAATCATCTTCATATCTATAAGTATGTCACTTTCTATGATAATTTTGATTTTAAAATATTATGAGTTAGTTGGAGCTGAAGAGAACCTAACGAAAAAAATCTTTGTTGTTGCTCCCTTCAAAATAATAAGGGAACCTCTGTGTATGGAATTGACAATTGCTTGAAAAGTAATCAAATTCAGTGAAAAATAGGTACAATTAGTAAAAGACTACTGAACTGTGACTTCGTCAAATTTTAATAATACAAAGGATTAAACATTATTTTCACGCTAACTTAAAATCGGGACAATAATTGAAGGGGAATAACACGGATTCATCTCAGTTCATGGTTTCTCCTCAGCTGCTTATAAACCGTATTTGTGTTGAAATTTACAAATGTTAAATGACAGACATTGATGGATGAAATTACAAATGTTACCAAAATTGTATGCATAAATATAAATGCTGCCTCATTGATTTCTACGGGTTCACCTACATTTGTAAAAAAGACACTATATTTGTATAAAACATCTTGAAGTTCGTTTATCCTAAATAAGTAATTGTCTCTTAACAATATGTGGATGGTATAATGATTTAAGACAGTTGAACTATTCAAAAATGAGCACTTTTCTACACTGGTAAATAGGAGAGAATGCAAATAAAGTATTCCAAATTTGTTCTGTTGTATATTATCTATTGTAATTTTTAACAATAAACTTTTAATATCAACTTAAATTATGATTCGTAGATTTTACATAAATCAACTTCTTATTTGCTACCACATATAAAATAAAATCAACCCTTTAGAGAGTTAGTTCCATCAAAATACAGGTAGATTCATTATCAGTAAGCTAGATAGCTTAACCTAATTCAATTGCTCTTATTTTAAGAACAATACCAGTCAATATTTATAATAATAGTACTAATAATAATAATAATAATAATAATAATAGTAATAATAATAAAGGCATAGATAATTTTATGATAATAAAAGCGAAAGTTAAAATTTTCAACATGGACAATATGGTTGAAACTAAAAGTTATTTTAAGAAATAACATTAAAATTTAGAATAAAAAGCAACTAGTTGTACAGTCTATAATTTCTCACATTTAAGAGCATCAAGGAAAGTATAAAATTAAAAGTTTCTAATTGAGTTTTTAATGGTGAGCTACTTTTATTTTATCGCACATTTCAGTGAAGAATACTAGTCATTCTAAAGTTATTATCTCTTTGGAATGAATGAATCTCTCTTGAACAACTTATTCACTAAACTTACTTGAATTATGTTTTCTGGTTAGCGTTTTTTTAGCGAGTTAGTTTTTTTCTGAGGGATGAGGTCGCCAACCCCATGCCCAACCCTCCCCCTGTCTCCTGGCTTGGAACCCGTTCTAGCCCAAAAGGGGCTCCAGGCGGAGTTATCCAGGTAACTGATGATAAATATTTGTTGCTCAAATATTTAGATCAATGCTATTCATATAACAAGTGATGGAAATTGGTATCAATCAGTGTCCACTAAATTTTTCACTAGAAATGAAAATAATAAACTGTGATCATAATGTGATATACATATATCTTTGTAAAACTTGATAATAA